GTAAAATTTTAAAGTATGTTGAAAATTGCTTGCCTGGAAGTTAATGATTCATGGAAGGAATTGTCATCGATTTGAATGAGTTATGATTCAAATTGTGATTGTTTGGGTATGATTCTGAATAGAATAGTCATGACTTAGTTCATCACATAAGTATTTTATTATTCACAGTCTATTGTTGAAATTAAAGCTTTGATTTCTTACTCAAACATGAAAAGTTATGCAAGTGTTCATTGGGGATCTTTTGATTATAGCGTCCATGAGGAAAAAGGGTTTTCAGGCCAGATTATTTGATCGGAACCTTGAAGTGTAATCTCTCAAACTTAGATAAGCTTTGTGATGTGCATGTTGCTGAGTGAATTCAAAAAGCTAAAAGTTCTAATACCGACAGCATTTGTGAACGATCACTTGTTATAGAATATTTCTACAGAATTCTTTGTATGCCTTTATTCTACTATAAACCATTCTATTCCTTTAAACTTGTTGGTTTTAACAATCATATCTAGATTTTAAATCATTCCAAGTAAATTTTTGAATAAAAATGACTGATTCGTAGTGAATGATAAGTTGTCAGTTTTAAACTTGATTGATACACCTGTTGTTGGATCAAAAATCAATTCCGGTTCAGTCAAAGATTCCTGATTATGTGCCAATCCCTATCAACACGGTTTATTCACTAAATACCATAATTAAGATTCTAATTAAGAGCAATTATAGTCTATAAATAAAAAACAAGCAAGTTTCTTCCACATCGATCTTGAAACTGGCAAAAAAATTCTAAAAATGCAGCCATTTTCAAATAGGAGTGGCAGTAGACTTCAAAGAAATATGAAGCAAGTTTACCATTAGTTCAAAGTTTTTGACTATAAATTATGAAAGGTTAATGCGCCACAGTCACTTGACTAGAAGAATCATTTATACATTTTAATGAACAATTTTTCATGCTACATGCAGCAGTGCTATCTTATTAATATGATGAAATGTAATTACTTATAATTGCAATCAGAAATATGGGATTGTTGTATGCAATTAAATGAATTCATATATACCTATGTGAATAAATACTATGTATGTTGTAGATCTTATTGGATATTTTTAATCAAATTCGGATCATGTACTTTTAATGGGAGACATTGAATTATGTGATTGAAGAGAAAGAAATTCCAACTTCGGAAATATAATTGCGTTTGGTACGTAGAAAGTTGTAAGCATCTATAATACTTTAAAAAGACATAAACAACCTCTAAGTACGATGTTAAAGTTAATGCACTGAAAATTAGTCTTATCCGCTGTAAATAACTTACAATTCGACATTGATCTTAATGTGTCAGCATTAATTATGTAATCAATTGGAAGTAATTATAAGGTGTTTAAAATTTAGGATTTTATATTTATGCGTCCATCACTTAAATTCCGCTATAGTCATATCTATCTACAATTAAGAGATGAGAAACAATTGAAATTCTTAAAATAAAGCCTGATTACGAATGCCAATGCCATGCATAAATTTTAGCATTGATCGTGAGATGTTTGCAGCGCTGTTCATATTAATTGCTTGAGGTGTCAGAGCGCGATAGTATAATTCATGATGATTATGATTATTTTCGTTGCCTATTGTTATTATTTATATTTCCGACATGCAACAAGAGAATTGAAGCACAACAGGAATCGTGTATCGATTCAATTCTTTCAATTTTGTTAGCTTATTGATGCTAATCTTCTTCCTTTTATTTGATGCTATAGGGTGACTATTGATAGGAATATTCTGTTGGATCTAAAATTCAACTTTTTGGTAGACTTTATTTTATGAACCAACATTCATCAATTTTGGTTACATAAACCTTAATTTTCTGCCTTTCCAAACTCATCAAGCACTCTTAAACTACTCAGTGTCAAATCATCATCACAAAGAACTTAATCTGAAAGGTATTTGATGATGAATTTACAGTTTACAGTTACTTTAAAGGTATTTCATAATAGAAGGTAGATGCGGTGATTGGAAGCAAGAATCTGACAAATTATTAAACTTTGAAAGCCACAAAAAAATTACTATGATTAATTGATTTGGTCTCTTTCTTAGCTCTTCCTGTCTTGATTCGATTCCATTCACTCGTAAAGTTCAGAAGATGATTTCTCATTGACGTCGAGACCTCGTTGAGTCATCGTCATCATCTGTGTTGTTTATTCAACTGACAACAGTTGTCCATGTATGAAAATGAGACAACAATCTCACTTCTTCTTATTTGCTTATACACATGCTAAATTTAAAGTCTTGAGATATAGCTTTGTATATTCTCAAAGCAGCACATTTACATGCATGTGGTCAGTGAAATGAGAAAAAAGTCGTTAAATTGTTGTTCTGCCACTTTTCTTTTATAACCTCTTTTCCTTTAGTTTTTATCAAACATTTGTTGTTTACTTTATAAATTTCTTCCGCGTATTTGGGTCGTTAAGGTATTGAAAATTCCATTTTTGTATTCAATCAGTATTTTTTTCTCTGTCTGAACATTCTCTCTGTACAGAATCGATACATGTGCTTATACAATACATAATGCTTTCCGCGCTGTATGAAGAAATGTAAATTGTCAAATGACTACATTTCTTCAATTATAATGAATTGTGCTTGGATGGGAGGAGATGGTGCATACAAAAAAAAATAAAATACAACCTCAAAAAATTGTGTCAGGCGAATCAAAATGTAACGGCAAAAATGAATTTTCGTGTCTAGCATATTAAGCTGTCTCAATCACGATGCTGCCCAAACTTGCTGCTGTGGTTGTAGCTTCCAAAAACCAAAATAAATGAAATTGATGTCACAAACTAGATATGACTAAATATAAAAATAGAGAAAATAATGATGATGAAAATGTTTTATTTGGATGATGAAGCCATAAAGAAAGTCATCAACAACAATGGAGGAGATTCTTTTCAACTCAACATGATTAATTTTCATTATAGATCATCTTCTGTCACTTTCTTCAATTAAATTAGATTGTTTCCTCTGGACTAAATAAATAAGAGTGTCCACAGTTGTTTGTGCTTCCAACCATATTGTCATGTTCATTGACGTTGCCTATTCTGTCGTTCAAATCTTTCTTTTAAAGACTCAATGATATTATTAAGCAATATCTTAGCGAATAATACAGTTTCGATAATTTCATTAAAATAATTAAGGTGTGTCTTTTTTTTTGTTTTTTCATTAATTAAATTGTACTTGCGATTTCTATGAAATCAACGTCGCTTAATTTAATTATCGTTGGTTTAAAAAAGAAACTTTTGATTTCATTCGAGTTTTTATTTTCATGCATTTTTGAAAATACCGAGATATCAAATGCATAGCAATGCAGTTCTCATATGGCAGTCAACAATCTTGTTGTGAATGCATTGAATAATTTGTATTGAAAAATCAGTTTTTATGAAACTGAGAAAACTTGATAGGAAATTATTAGTTGAAGTGGATGAGCTGAAGCGCAGTTTGTTGAATTAAGCAAATAACTTTTTGATTAGATAATAATGTGAGTTCGTTTGGATATAATGAAATGTATGTTCTTTCAACTCATTTTATATGATTAGTAAGCATATCAATAATCGAATCATATCCAGTCTTAGGAAGTTATAAAGGATTATTGCTGACTTCTATGCAATTAACTTACACTATATTTAAAAGTAATTGATGATTTTTAAATGAAATCTTGACCTTTAGAATCTCATATTTTTTATGATTGATCTTTACTTCAATAATAACTGGAGTCGAATGAATATTAAGTAACTTCAATTTAGTAAAGCAAAAGATTCTTAAAGTGTTCATAGTTATCCATAAAATGCATTTTCTGATCATAATATCATAAAAGAAGTAACATAAGGATTTCAAAATGTCATTTTTAACATCACGTAATTCTCAAATGACCCCTGAACTTTTGAACTAAAATTGACTATCCAAGTGATTTGCCTAAATGTCAATAAGCAATTTACATACAAAGCACATATGTTAAATTTCTATCTTGAGCAGCTTTCGTGACAATTTCGATGAAAATAAAATGCATGAAATATGTTTATTACACATGTCAAATTAAACAAATCATGACATTAAACAAGCTTGCTGTTGCGCTTGACGGGGATTCCAAAGCAACTGTTTTGAGTAGTGTCTGACATTTTTGAGCAAGATTTATTTTTCGTCATGTTCATATTTCAATTCCGGTAACATTCTTGAGATTTTATTTGGACAAAAGGATTAGGATTGTTTTTGCTAAAATGTCAAAGACATTATCTGAACTGTAAAGTTGTCCATTTTGGATCATTGTCTTTCTTGCGAAACAAAAAGATTGCAACAATGAAAATCAATAGATACAAAAAAAATGGAAGGTTGATAACTCAAATGTATTTGGATCAGACAGTATTAAAATTTTTGTCTGTGACATTTCAGACATTTTTATCAAATCATGCATTATTAAATAACATCTGATCAAAGTCAAAGTGAATCCAATAAGAATCTGCTGCACAAAATTCGCTAAAAGTTATGAAAAAGAAAACTGGATTTACCATTTACAATAAAATGCACAGCGTATATACTTGAAAAAATAAAAGTGAATGGAGATCGGATGTTGGTGAACTTCATTCATTCATTCATCTAGTTGTAGTAACAAAATAAAAACAGAGTTTAATTGTTCTTAACAATCGGCGAGAAAAATTCCATCTGAGAAAATTCATTTGCACCTCTTTAGCTCAGCATAAAAAAAATACACAACAAAAAGCTGTATGCAAAGCGTCTCAATTAAAGTTGTTTCGCATCTTTAAACATGTTGATGAGGAGATATCTAGTTAAATTTTCATTTCAATCGATTTCATCATTATTGGTATTAAATAAAAATGTGTATGTGGCTGGAATTTGATTATATTTGGCTCTCAAGCATACGAAAAGTTTGACTATACGTCTGTAAATAAATATTATTCATGACATAAGCAACAAATTTGACTAATTGGCAATAATTTATTTTATTTTTCAGTGTGTGGACCGCCAGCAGTGCCAGTAAATAGTAGAGTACAAACAAAATCATCTGATTATGGACTGAGTGAAGCAAAGTATGAATGTGATTCGGGATATGAGCTGTTTGGGCCATCAACAATTAAATGTGATCCAAAGAAAGGCTGGGAGAAGGAACTGCCATTTTGTGGTAAATATTAGAGATTATATTATAATTCGTGTAACAATAATAATCGATAGCATCACGTTCTGCTGTAATAATACGAGCAATTTCAAAACCTGAATGCTGTAAGATCAGAGAATGAATTTCAAAACTTTTTTCAAAGCTTCATTATTTACTTTATTCCATAAATCTTTTCAACACGCTTCAAAATCCAATTTTTCATCTATTTTGATCTTTATTGAATTTATGTTTGCATCTGTAAGATCTTAACACAATGAATGATGATGCGATTATGTACGAGTTATATGCAGCAAATGTTGATTTTATGCAGTGTACCTATCAAAACATTTATTTTCCACATTAATGTATGACTATAGTCATATGTGCAACTGGTTAATCATCATTTTCAAATCAATCTCCACAATAGTAACACAATTAAATGCTTTTTTGTAATGTGTAAATGATCTGAAACGCCCAATTGTTACCTACAAATAGCAGGAAATAAAAATAAAATAAGAAATAAGAAAAATAAATACTTTAGAAATCAAAGTAAGTAGTGGTAGCAATAACTTAATGACGGGTGCATTACAAACATTTTTTTCGTTCTTTCCTCTGTTGTTGCTGACAATCGACAGAATAATTTCAAATCTAAGTAAAGAAGTTGAGATAATTGGATGGTAAAGGCGCTGGATTGTTAGAATATTAAATATAGATTGCATCCGAATGAAGAGAACTTAGAACTTAATGGATTCCTAGAAAATAATGATTGTTGTTCAATTTTCTAAGCCCGTTACTTCCTATGAACTTTTATTAAAGGGCGTTTTATTAAAAATATCTATTTTATTGCAATTTTCAATGGAAATCGATAAAAACATGTTCATCAGTTCACCGGATGCATCTGAATTTAATATGATATTAAATAAATTTATTCGAAGGTTCTTCAAAGTGGAGAATCCAATAAACCTTTCCATAGATTAAATTTCAAAATGGTTACTTTAAAATTGTAGAAATCTTAAGTTTGGTATGCTTTAGGTTATTTTAGTTCAAATGACATACGTCGTTTAGCAACAGTCCTCCTTATTAACACCAAAGCTAGACTTCTTAGTCTTTTCAACCAATCAAAATTCATATTCATGTTCATGCACCGCAATATTAATAATTAGCTAGAAGCAACTTTTCAAATTTTGCAAAAGGAAGTGTCAATTCTGAGTGACTAAGGCTACTTTCTAAAAGCCAAATAACACACGATATATTTGCTTACCCAATCAGCCATCCAATATGCACATTTTAACACATTTGAGTAATGAAAAAAATGATTTCATCGAGGTGGAAAAAATGAAAGGAATTCTATTGTATGCTAAACTACAATATGTGTGTGATTTGCGACCTACTTTAAATAAAGACACTTATCAAAATATTTATGACTGTTCTATTTTTCGTACCAATTACTAATTGAAATTTAAAATAATAATTCTGCATTTATTAGGAACTGAAACCACTCAATTATGTCTTATTTTGCAAACAGCAAATTCAATCTTAAGTGTCAAGTGTCACACATAATGTCAGTATGCAAAGTGTATTTCAAATAGTGTGTAATTCTTTTCAAATGTCTTGAATTAACCTTGAGACGAATACACATACTCAGTATAGACAGATATAATCTTAATTTGCAGCACAATTTAAATCCATTTTGAAAACTATATTTAATTCTTTTTAAAAAATCTCAATAAAAACAGAGTTTTGTGTAAATTAATTGAGTTACCCTATAAGAAGCTGTTGCCAATATCATTAAGTTTCAATTTACTCAGGTACATTAGAAGAAAAAATGTTGATCAAAGTCATAAAATTATATGGCAGAAAAAAATAATAAATTCATGGTAAATGCCTTAAAAATTCATATTTCACATTCATTCATTCAAATAAATTTTCTTTTAATATTATGTAGATTGAAATGCGTGAAGACAAATCGACAATGAAATGAAAATAGTATGAAAGTCATCGTTACAGTGTTTTAGTGGATCGCTGTAACGCTTTTGTAAGCAAGTGATTTCTTAGTTCAAAGTTGTATGGTGGATGCTACTTAAGTTAAGTAGTGTCTAGATCATATATTTTAGTATTTTATTGATTGGGAAAAAACCATTTCTGATCGAGTTGAAGTAGACGACTCTAGTTGTTGAAAAATCTTACCAGATTCGAATCATATTTGGTTTTATATTATAATATCTAACTTCTTACAATATAATTCATAAAATGATCTCAATTATAAAGAATCAATTGGACATAAAGTCTTCACTAAAACACCATTTTTAAGCAATAAAAAGCTAACATAATGAAGAAGAAGATGTGAATTAATGAAGAAAATGAAAAGAATTTGTGGCATATGTGAAATATTAATTTTAAATACTATTTAGGTGAACTCATTATTTTCTCAAAATATAAATTATAATACACACTGATGCCACTAGAAGTAGCTTATAAACAACATTTTGTAAGATATGTACATTGAAAGAAGCTTTTGTTGCTATTGTTGTTGAATAGAACAGTTGATTGGCAACATTTTTTCTTAAGAAAAATATAATGTTATTAAAACAAATAAACAATGGTTGGTGGAGCTCAGCTATGATTTTCGTAACTCACGTCAACATCGTATAATAAAGTGCTAATGTATTTTGATGATGTCTCAATCAATTAATCTACATCATGCAACTATTTGTCATCTCGATTTAACGCTTATTAAAATTGCTTCATTCATTCTTTACGTGATTTTAATTAATTCCTATGGAAAGAGATGCTTGTCGTTTATTTTTAATTGAAGAATCGTACAAGTTTTAAACTGTTCCTGTCTCAAATTGTAATTTTCTATGCTTCATACAGGCACGAATGTGGCTTATAGAAAACCAGTTAATCAATCATCAGTAACGCGAATTGGACCAGCAACTTATGCCAATGATGGTAAGGCAGGAAACCAAAATCCGGACGGTCAAGAATGTTCGGAAACGCAAAAAGAAACATCGCCGTGGTGGCGAGTTGATTTACTTGCTCCTCAAACAGTCAGAGTCGTTAGAATAACTACAAGAGGTTGTTGCGGTCATAATCCGCTTCAAGATCTAGAAATAAGAGTTGGTAACAGTAGTACAGATTTACAAAAGAATCCATTATGTGCATGGAATCCAGGTACTATGGAAGAGGGAACAACAAAGGCATTCACATGTGCCCGACCTCTCATCGGTCAATATGTAGCCATTCAACTCGTAGGTGTCGAAGGAAGTCTAAGTCTATGTGAAGTCGAAGTGTTCTCCAATGATGGTAAGCTTTTGAATTCTTTAATGACAAATTGAAATTCACAAGAATGGTCTTTACCGCCCACATTTAGAATTTTCAAGTGAGCGCTGTGCATCGCCAAATTTAAGTCCCGAGACAATTTTAACAACATTCTCACGTACATGTTACGAGTTTCATGTGACGAGAGGTGAAAGTTTTGATAAAGCAAGATCAACATGCCGTTCACATGGTGAGCTTATAATGCATAATAATTAATGTTATAGTCGATTATTCAATTCCATTTTCATCTTCTTCTATTTAAATTAGGTGGAGATTTGCTTCATGATTTTCGTGGTGCAACGTATGACTATGTATTGGCGGAACTTGATCGTAGAAAGGCAGATCTCAAGACCCAATTAGTATGGGTCGGTGCCCAAAAAGAGCCGGGAATAACAGCTAGAACTTGGCGATGGGTAAATGGTAAGACAATTCTATTTGTTCAATTTTTATTTCCATTTTATATAATTGCGTTTTTCCTGTGGCTGTATATGTAAAGTTAAGTGTGTAATGAATTGAAAATCAAAGACCGTAAAGATGCTTTAGGTTTGTTTATAGAACTTTTTTTTTGTTTCATCCAGCGAATTATTTCAATTTTAAATTATGCTTCACAAATTGCGTTTCCATCTGATTTTTTGTATACATAAATTAAAATGTAGAATAGAACAATTGTTGATTCGAGTCACGAATTCAATTCAATCACCTCAGTCTACAAAAACCACATAATCCAGACTGAAAAATGATGTGATTCTGTAGATGAAAAATTAAAGAAATTTTTTGTTGCATGCTTAAAATGTTTTAAAACTTCATTACATCCATCGCCTCCGACTCTAATTATTCTCGAGAATTTCAAGCATTCTGTTACATTGAATGTTTACATTCATCATTTCATTGCCATTATGTTTCTATTAAAAAAAGGCATAGAAAGAAATGCTAATTATGGGAAAGTTCTCAAGAGCGGAATTATCCATTCGATTCAAATGAAAATATTTCTGTAAGTAGGTTTTGTAATGAATAGTAGTTGCCTGTACGAAAACATTTTGATGAAGCTTTTGATTGTGTTGATGAAGTTATTTACCGTGACGCCTGAGAAGGAATAAAAATGTACTCATTAAAATACCTTAAACAATTTGCGATTTTAAGCGGTGTGGATCATCTGCTTGATTTCAATTTATTGCCTTTTTTATATCTGTCAAAATCTTAATGTTGCGAGACAATGGCGATTGATCTATCAAATTTACTTGGACATAAATGAGGCAGTCCAATATCTCATTATTTTAATTAAACATTGATTGATGATGGTTATATTTTAATTTGATTTGATTTCGTCATTATGGATGCTGAATTCTCACAGATAAATGCTTTTAAAATATTTTTGGGTTGTCATTCAGATATGATGTTTGTCTAAGCTTATAGATTTCAGACATAAATCATTATTGTAACAGTTTTTAAACAAGTTATGATTAGAGAAATGGAATCTAACCCCCTAAACCATTCGAGACATCATATGTGAACAGACCTCAATATAGTCTTGACGATTTGCTGAAATTTACATTTTTCCCATTCCATGCTTCATTTATTTGAATATGAGTAAAGTTCTCAAACTTGTATGGATTTAATTACGGTGGTTATTTATCAGCAGCTTCATCATGTGGGAATCGACACCAATTTCCATTCACTTTTATTTTAGAGATATATTAAATAGCCTTAACATCAACATAAAATTAAATTTAATAATGCCTTGCAATATTTATATAGAAATTCGACCTTGAAACTCATTACGAGTGAGCGGTCGGCACTAAAGCTATCATTCTCTTATTTCCCACGAACAGGTGACATCGTGGTGAGACCGACATGGGGAAAAGATCAGCCCAACAACTACAATGGAGAACAAAATTGTGTTGTTCTTGACGGTGGAAGGAATTGGCTGTGGAATGATGTTGGCTGTAATCTTGATTATCTTCATTTTATTTGTCAACATCAGCCTTTATCCTGCGGATCACCTGATGTACTTTATAATACAACAATAGTTGGAAAAAATTTCTCAGTCGGTGCCATAGTTGAATATAAGTGTCCAAAAGAGCACTCGCTTGTTGGAAATGCTACGAGGGTGTGTCAGTCGAATGGATTTTGGTCTGAAGTTGCACCTACTTGTAAATGTAAGTAGAACAACTACTTTTTTTCATAATAAGCAAAAAAACATGAATAAATTAAAAATGTCTCAACAACTTAAACATAAATCTATCTAGACATTGATTGCGGTTCACTTGAAACATTAGAGCATGGCTCCATAAGAATGTCGGAAGAAAGAACAACTTTTGGTGCTGTGGCTCAGTATATATGTCATGAGAATTATACATTGATTGGTAACGAAAATCGAACATGTACAACTGCTGGATGGAGTGGTAAACACCCGCAATGCTTAGTTGATTGGTGTCCGGAGCCTAAGCAAATCAGCGGTGGAAAGATTAATATATCAGGTCGCCGAGCAGGCTCAACGGTAACATATTCTTGCGATCATGGATATGTGTTAATTGGTGAAAATATTTTGTCATGTGGTCTCGGAGGTCAATGGACTGGAAGTGTGCCTACATGTCGATATGTTGATTGTGGTACGCCAGCAAGACCAGATAGAGGTTCATTAGTATTGATAAATGGTTCAACGACAGTGGGATCAATCGTAAAATATGAGTGTGATGATGATTACTGGCTTGTGAATGGTGATGACATCCAAACATGCACAAAAGATGGAAGGTGGTCAGGAACTACACCATCATGTGAATTAATTTCGTGCGAGACTCCTCAAGTTCCAACTGCATCTTATGTGGTCGGTTACGACTACAATGTTCATTCATCAATCACCTACCATTGCGATCCTGGTCACGTTTTGAAAGGAGATGCTGTGCTGAAGTGCTTAGAAACTGGTGATTGGGATAAAGACCCGCCGAACTGCCAATGTAAATTGATTTGTTTGTTTTCTTAACCAGCATGGATGATTAATTTTTTTTTTCAGTTATTGATTGCAAACCATTGACTCAACTTCCATTCGGATCTATTCGATACTTACAAAATACAACATACATTGGTTCAGAGGTTGCCTTTAGCTGTGTAAATACACACAGATTAAATGGAAATCCAAAGAGAATATGCTTAGAGACAGGCATGTGGAGTGACTCTTCTCCAAAATGTGAAGAAATCAGATGTTCAGAGCCACTATTAGCAGACCATAGCTTACTCTCAGTGACTGGAAATGACAGAATGTATGGACGAACTGTTCTTCGAACTAATCAAGACTTATCAAGTTCAGTGCAAACTTATAAAGTTGGAGCATTAGCTAAATACCGATGCGAACGTGGATACAAAATTATTGGCGATGCTCTTATTACATGTGAAGAAAATGGACAATGGTCAGCTAAAGAAATTCCATCATGTGTTTGTAAGTAATCAAAGATAATGCTTTTAAAAGCCTTTTAATCGATACTAAACTTTTATTTCCTTAAGTTGTTGACTGTGGCAATCCTCCGACAATTGGTAATGGAACAGTCGCATTAACTGCCAATGTTACATATTATGGATCAACGGCACTTTATGAGTGCAATGGCAATTATAAGCTTGATGGAGTTTCTAGGAGAATATGTTCAGAGGATGGTAATTGGAGTGGAGACGGTGAACCTAAATGTGTAGAAATCACCTGTCCAGCATTCAATGTCAGTGAGCATTTGCTTGTTGATGCTGGAATGAAACTTGTTGGACAGGTTGCACAATTCTCATGTACAAAAGGACGATATCTTGTTGGAAATAGTACAAGAACTTGTCTTGCGAACGGACGTTGGACAGGAAAGAATCCTGTTTGTAAACGTAAGTCATTAAAACTTTTTTTTGCTCATTAGCAAAGTTATAAAAATTCTTTTATTAATCTAGCCGTTGACTGTGAACGACCTAATGAAGTTGAGAATGGAAGAATTATAATTGTTAATGATGTAACAACTTATGGAGGCTCTGCTGAATATCATTGCATTCCAAATTACAACAGAATCGGACCATACTTGAGAAAATGTATGGAGGATGGCAAGTGGAGTGGAGATGAGCCCAGATGTGAATGTAATATATCCTTTTATTTTGATATGACTTAAATTCTAATTCGATGTTCATTTAGTGTCAGTGAATGAAGCAGCAAATGAAGACAATGTTGGAACTGGAGTCGCAATTTCAGCAGCAATCATTGTTATTCTATTAATCTTTATCCTTATTGTGTTCCTTCATCGGTAAGATTATTCTTGAATCCTTACATTCTCTTATACTTAAGTAACAATTTCTCAGCGTTCAAATCGTAAATTTCAGAAATAAATCACGTCCTGTAAAGAACTCAGAGAATGTCCAAGCAGCTGAAAGAAAGGAGGATCAAAATGCAGCAGTCATGTCTTATTCTAGTTTAGAGAATCAACGAGCAAACATTGATTTACATAATCGAGCGGGAATGGCAACATTTAATACCTTCCAGGCACCAGTCAGAACTAATACTAGTAATTTAAGTAGCGATAATAGTCTTAGATCGGAAAATATTTACGATCAAATACCTAACGAAACGACAATTTATGATCAGCCTTATGAAATGCGAGTAAATGAGGAAATGTATGAGCCAGAGCCGAACAGAGGAAATATTATCACAATCAATGGGATAAGTGTGCGATGATGTTCACTGTAAATACTTAATCATTGCTCATTCCAGTCGATTTTGCTATGTCGCCCAAAAAGTAATTCATAATGTTCATGTTCAGTGTAAATTTTTTTTGACCCTAGGCTAGTGCTTTTTGTTAGATATTGTAAATAGTTAGAATATACGATAAAAGGAAATAATAAGTAGAATTTATTCAATTCGATTACAATTTAGTCATGGCTTTTAGTTTTATTATTTTCTAAAATTCGAATCATCGTCAATCACATTGTTTGTTTGGTTTCTTTTATTTAGATCTATTGCTTATAGGATATTACTCGCATGCTGAAGTTTTTTAATTAATCATCAAGTCTTTAATGTAATTAACAACTTTCTCGTTGTGAAGAATCTCAAAATGTTCAACCTTTTCTACATTCAATGTTGAGATTGATTGCTTTTGTAAGCCTCTCCATAAAGTACATGCTTGTGAGCTTCGCAAATTGACAGATCCATCACCATCGCCATAGATCAACTCTGGTGTGCTTGACAAGTCGTTGCTCTTGTATCGTAAACTAAAATTAAAGGATATAACGGATTTAAGTGTTGCTATAAGTAGGTAGTGTAGGTATCCTCACCCCTCAACAGTTTTCATTTTAGTCGAATACAAGCAGTGAATCTCAACATTTGGTGGAGCAAAGTTCTCAACAAATTTCAGATTATCCTTTCTCATTTCCCAAGCTATTGGATATCCCAGATCTGTGAAAAATTCATTTAACTGACTATGAGTATAATTTCTTCTAGGTGTTGAGACTAGAACTTCATCAGGCTTCCAAACAGCCGGGAACGGAAGTAAAAATGCGAGTGAAGGCATTGAAATCTGCATTGGTTTCATTTCACTTGCAAATAATCCTAAACTTCCGAGGTCATCGCCCATTGCAAACACTTTAACTGCTTTAGCACTAGACAATTTAAATTTTTTCATGAGCAACAAGAACATTAAGCACTGAATACTAATTACCTTCCAGCCCATGCACCTACAATGCAAATATTTAAATCGTATAATTAATTAAGCTAATTGTCAGCAATTCATCAAAATAAATTACCAGCAATTGTTATCATCCGTTTAACATATTTCTCCTTCCATGCCTCAGTTTGTTGTTGGAAAAAGATCATCAACATTGGAGCTCCCATCGAATGAGCAATATAAGTAATTGGCTCATGATCATTAAGATCGTATGTTTCTTCAGTAAGCTTCTTCAAGTCAATAAAGTATTGTCCAAGCTCACCTTTGAGCAAAAAGAGAAATTTAGGCTAATTATTGATCATTAATCATGCAATAATTGAGGGTTCCTTACTTGGTCCTTTACGGAAGTCAAATGGAGCACCTCTCATTGACACATTTCTAACATATCCATTATCAACAAGCATGTTACCAACAGATTTAAAGTATGCGCCTTGTTTTGCATGTGATGGATCAATCCATTCTACAGTCTAAATTGAATTGCGTCATAAAACAACTTGTTTGTTCCTCAATAATATTCATACTTACTTCTGAGTCACCCCATCCTAATAAATCATTTATAAAATTTTAAATAAATCAAGTCTGATCAAGTAACAAAGAAAAATCGTACCTGGAATTCTATGCTCAACGCCAGGGGAATTGCTTGTTGTTCTAGTTACATTGTCGTAATGTAATTTTGCATTATCAGTCCAACAGTCAATGATTAATGGAGCCAAAAGTTCCAAATTGAGCCATATATTAAAGTATTCTTTTGTGGCTTTCGTACAGAAGATGTGGACAGTTGATGGTTTGTTTAATTTCACATCAACTTGACTGCCACCATCGCCAGGAACTAAATTGAAGATGAATTTTTAAATAATGTCATTAAACAGCTTGATTATCAAATTGAGGCGTTCACTTATGACATTTCTGATCTTTAACAGGTTCTGGTATCAAATTCAGATGTCATAAGTTAATAAACACAATACAAGTGCAATAAATCTACCAAAAATAACAGGTGATCTAGGCTTAACCGTCTTATAGACATAATTCACTGAGTTGTCATGATCAAACCAAGGAAATTCAATTTTAAAAGAACTAATTAGTCCAAATGATGCTCCAATTAGCACAAAAATAATTTTATGTAGTATCATCAAGCAACTCAATATTTTTTTACAATGTGACACACAAAAGGCTAAAAATGTACTGATTCCGATGATTGGCAGTTACTACGAATATAAGAAAATAAAAATCATCTCATGCGATCTCATTTACAAATAAAATAATGACGTAGAGTATGATCTGTCAAGTGGGCAAGGACTTATTTGACGCGATTAAGAAAAGAATGTAAAAAGAGAGCCTCCAAACATTCATGAGACATATTCACGTGAATGTTGTTGACCTAAGTAGAAAGATTCGTGATAGTTTTGAGAGAGTCATCACTGATAATATGCGTATACTCTCTATCTCTTACTCTCATACTCAATATTCTTGCCTGTTTATTCTCATTCTATAAGTTTCTCGATTTACAAACAAAAAAAAATCAAATGTGTTGTCACTACTTTCAAACATGTCGAAGTGGATAGGCAAAGTTTTGTTTATTCTCATCTCATTATTTATAAATTCAGCGTTCCTTGGTGTTATTGATAACTCAATCGAGCGTTTTTCATATCAAACGGACTCAGAAGATGTGGTGTGTCATTTGCCTGATAATTTAGTAAAGGAAATTGCCGGCTATCAACCTATAGTCAATAAAATAATCAATGAAATTACAAATGGACGTTTTAAAGGTAGAACTTGGGACTCATTAGCTGAATTAACCGATTTATTTGGTCCACGTATGGTATGTACGGATGCACTAGAACAAGCTATTGATTATGTTGTTGAATCGATGAAAAAAGGTGGACTTGATAATGTCCACAATGAAAATGTATCAGCACCAAATTGGGTGAGAGGATTTGAAAGTGCACAGCTTGTAAGGCCATGGAAGAAGAATATGAAACTATTAGGATTGGGTAGTACAATTGGAACGATACGTGGTGGAATCATTGCTGATGTTATTGCTGTCGAATCTTTTGATGAATTTAATAAAATTCCTGATGATCAAGTTAAAGGAAAAATCGTTGTCTTCGTACCAAAATGGGAAGGATATGAGAAGACAGTTGTTTATCGTGGAAATGCAGCAAGTAAAGCATCAGCTAAAGGAGCTGTAGCAGCATTAGTGAGATCAATTACTCCATTCTCAATTGGATCGCCTCATACTGGACATCAAAGCTATGCTGATGGAATTAAGCAAATTCCCGTGGCTGCAATTACAGTTGAAGATGCCGAAATGATTTTGAGGATGTACAGAAGAGGACAGCCAATAACAATCCATTTAGAAATGTCTGATTTTATTAAGCCAAACTGTATTTCAAGGAATACAATTGGAGAATTGCAAGGAACTAGTAAATATAAGGATAAGTCTGTTGTTGTTGTCAGTGGACATTTAGACTCATGGGATGTTGGTGGTAAGTATTATAACAATTTTATGCTGGTTTTAAGATAATGATTTATTGAATATCTAGTTGGAGCTATGGATGATGGTGGCGGAAGTATGATTTCATGGAAGGCTATTGAATTTTTAAGAGCTATGAATCTCCGTCCAAAAAGAACGATAAGAGCAATTTTATGGACTAGTGAGGAACAAGGAATGGTTGGTGCTGAACAGTATATGGAAGCTCATAAAGCAACAGAAGCAGATGAATTCAATTTCTTTATGGAATCAGATATTGGAACTTTCGAGCCACAAGGCTTAGATTTTAGTGGAAATGCTGACGCATCGTGTATTTTAAAGGAAATATTGAAGTACGTAATTTATACTTTAATTAATGCGTAGAAAGTAATTTTTAAGTTTTTTGATAATTTCACAGATTAATGACATCAATCAATGCCACGCAATATAGAGAACCAACTGATGGCGGACCTGACATTTCATGGTGGACAGTTCGTGGATTTCCATCAGCTTCTCTAATCAATAAAAATGAGAAATACTTTTGGTTCCATCATTCAGACGGAGATACAATGGCTGTAGAAGATAAAGATGTGCTAGACAAATGTACAGCTTTGTGGGCAGCGGCATCTTATGTGATTGCTGATTTGAGTATCAACATGCCAAAAAACTTGGTCACTAATTAAAATCAATGTGTCTATACTCTATAATCAGGTACATTTTTGGTGCCAATAGTTTCGTAATAAAGAATGTAAAATTGTGCATGAATAATCAATAAAAACATGACTAGTTGCGCAATTTAATAAATGGTTAATATAAACACTTTTTACTTACCGAAAATAACTGGAGATAGTGGTTTCTTAGGTGCTCTTCTGATTATAAAGGAAGCCTCAGAATTATCAACAATTTGCGACACAAAGATAATAAATGTAAAACAAAGAAATGATGCCGTTCTCATTCTTATTGTAGTTATTTGAAGCTCAATGCGTCCTATTTCAATGCTGTCTCGTATTAAAGTATAATTTATTTGATAAAGGTATGTCTTTCACTAGATTGTACACGAATTAAGAATTTTAAATCAATTTTCAATTTTTTTATTTCTGCGGGTTTTCTTTTCAAATAATTCTTAACCGTTAATTTGTTTAAATTATTTTTGACAGTTAAACATGCTTTGGTCTACATAATTAATCGTTTAATGGCTCTCTATCGTGATCTTCTTCAAAATACAAGCACTTGACGTCTGTATAAATACTTTTATCCAAAGGAAATGTGAATTTTAAGTGCTTAACTTCATCATAATTATTGACAATCAAATGTAAAGTTCTTAGATTCTTATAGTCACGTCTTACTACTTCATAGATTCTTTTATTTGCTATGAATCTTCCACCAATTTTTAAATGAGTCAACTTTGGTAATGAGATTATTTCTTTCACAATTCTGGACTCAAAGTCTCTTGTTATCCACCAAATGCTTAAATTAATTAATGTGCTGTCATGAATCTTTATGAACTTGAGTAGCTGCTCAATGTTGTTGATGATTTTAATAGAAAACTTTTCAAGATGCTTAATTTTAGTTTGAGGATCAAAAGTTTTGTTGAAATTAAGCACAACTAGTTCCTTTAAATTTGTTAAAAAGTAAGCGATGCTATGGAATAGATCATTAGCCACAAATTCATCTGTATCCATAAGATTTAACTTTTCAATGCATGGATAATGAGATAATAGTCCTTTCAAGCCATTAAAATTGTGTTTTGTAACTGTTGAATAAATTATTAGTGACTTGATGCTTAAATTCCGTGCCATATTCTCATAGAATGAATTCTCTTGAGGAACTGAGCTTGCATCAATTTCTAGGGTATGCATATTAATTAGAGAGCTTACTACAAATTTATATATACTTGGTGGCAAAGACCTTCCTGAAATCTTCACGTTCTCAAGATTTTTTGACTGAGATTCAAGAAAAGAAATGAAATTGTCTTCAAATTGATGAACATGTGAGTGATTTGAACAGAAAAGTGAATGAAACTTTTTAAGTCTAAACTTGCAGAACTCAGCAATATTTTGGTGGAAGAATACATTGATATTGTAGTTCATCTCGCCTATGTTTAAGGATGTAAGGTGTTTTTGATGACTAATAAAATTAATTAAGGATTCTTGATTTACAGCATTTTCATGGCAATCGATTATTTCAATTTTCTGTGACTGAATACTCTGCATATAATCCAGTATTTCATGATCAACTTTCAACAATATTAATTTGTTCAAAATCAGGCTTTTTTCATTTGTCAAGATATCACTTTCTGATTCTACTGGATCTTTGAATAGCTTAACTTTTGTAAGTGACAGGAAATTTAGATTAATGAAGCTACTAGAAATAACTTTGAGATCACGAGGGCTTAATATACAATAACTTATTTCTATACATTGCACAGTATTGCCTAATGCTTCAAAAATAGACTTACTAAAATTAACATTACTGATGTGCTGGATGTTTAAAGAATGAAAATTATGCACGAACATCTCATCTGATTGTATTATGCTGGAATATTTCAATGGAAGCATCCTCATTGTTGAAGCAGATTGAGTTATCAAGCTATGCCATCTAAAAGTATCAAGAATAATAAGATATGAAGGAACAATAATGACTTTTTCGAAGGTCAAACCTACCTTTTGCAAATCAGCATAACATTTTTTAAGCATTTTCCATCAAAATAATTAAAGATATCCAATAATACTTCATCTGGTACACTATCCATCGTATCTTTATTTCATTTATAACTTGATTAGCACATGACAATGCTATTTAAATGTTAAATTAATTAAATTAAATTCCTGTCACTTTTTGTAAACATTCCGAGATGACAAAACTTTTTTTTGCAGAGGTTATATTTACATTCAAAAATAGTTTTTCAAACAGAATCAAAATTAATTAATAATGCCATTTATGATAGGAAGAGCGCCTGTTAGGCGAACTCTAAAGTATTTAGAGTCTGGAAAGATTGTGTTAAAGGATCAGATCAAAATATTCAGCATAAATTACAATGTTGGACAAGGTTTTAAGAATAAAGTTCATGAAGGCAAGTAAAATTAACAAAAATACTCTTTAATCTTCAATTAACCTATGGATATCTTCTGTAGGAGCTCAAGCATTTGTATTCTGGACACTTCCACAGCTTCAATACAAAAATCCAGACGTTCAAATCGCTACATTTAAAAATATGACACCGTCTCCGTTCATTAGATGTTATTATGGTAAATATAAAGCTCTTATTACATTTTACAGTATAATGACATAGATTCTCTGATTTCAGAGGACGGCAAGCAAATGCTAATTGATATTGACAGTAGATCCAATGACGAGATTGTGAATCATTTAATTAAAGTTGTTGGAAAGTCAAAGCAAGTCCTCAAGGCAGAAACTTTAGCAGCAGAAGAAAAGGATAATCCAGCAAATTTTGGAGTTGGATGTGCAAGAAAGTGTATGTGTGAGATTCCTGGACAGATTCCATGCCCTGGTGTGTGTCCATTACCGAAAGTCATGCGAGGAAAATACTATTACTTTAAGAAGGATGAATTAGAGAATCCAGAACTGTAAAACCTTAATAGCTGTGTAAGATTAGTAGCTTAATAAATCATTTATTGTAATAATAATAATGGAAATAACAAGTTTTAAGCAAGTGACATGTCCATATCTTCACCACTAGTTTCAGTCTGTAAAATATCTGGTTCTGGCTCTAACTCCATTATTGCCTCAGTTATGTCATCTTCTTCGTTTTCTGGCTTGGCTCTGGCACTGGATATACGCTTTAAAATAGCTTTAGCTTCCTGCTTAGTCTCATCTAATTCCAAGACTTTATGTGCATAATGTGTCGCATCATCATTCTTCTTTTCAGCATAATAATTAGCTAAATAAAGATATGCTGTAATTAATGATGCTTTTTCGGACGTTGATCGTTCAACATTAACATAATTTTTGTAGGAACTGACTGCATTTTCCTGGTCGCCCATTTTCTCATAGAGATTTCCTAGTTTCAACATTGCAAATCCTTCAATGTCACCAACATTGCAAGCTTTCTGATAGCACTTAAGTGCATTTGATTTCTTATCCAATTTCTCATAGATTTCACCTAAAGCATGCAGCATTCGACTATCGTACGGTCTCAATTGTGTGGCTGTTTTGTAATAATAAAGTGCATAAACCGGCATTTTTATAATCTCATAAGCTTGTCCTAAACCATACCAAGCTCGAAAATCTCTTCTATTTACTTCTACAGCTTGTCGATAGCTCTGAATTGCTGCATTTGTATTCTTAAGTTCCATAAATTCATGTCCCATTAAAGTCCATGCTGATAAATACTTTGGATTAAGTTTCAATGCTCTCTGGAAGTACAGAATAGCTTTTTGATGTTCACCACGTATGCTATAATAATTTCCAATTACACAGCATGTTTCTGGACGATACTTGTTGATTTCAACTGCTTTATGTGCTAAATGTGCCATTTCTGTCTTTTGTTCTCTTACGAATAATAAATTAGAGTACATATCCATATTTTCTAGTCTGAATGGATCGACTGACTGAATTTGCTGAAACATTTGGATTGCTCTGTCAACGTCTCGGTTATTATGATAAGCTATAGCTATTTGTGATGTGGCATAAACTGACTTTTCAAATCCAGCATTTTGTATTTCCTCAAATAAACTTATTCCAGCTTCATTAACAACAAAGATTTCTATGAAAGTATGTCCAATAAAGAATGACTTGATCCAATGTTTTGGAAGTGACAATCCTCTCAAGTGCTCAGTATCCTGAATTAAAGGAGATAATTCCAGCCAAGCACTCCAATTTATTGGAACCAAATGAACACTTTCTAAGAGAACTGTAATTGCCATTTTAGTAAGATCCAATTTCTTCAAAATGATTCCATAAAGGAACAATCCATATCCATCGAGATTTTTATGATTATATTCTTCATTTAGCACCGACATCAATTCACTGAGATCTTTAAGTTGTGCACTTCCATTTAAGGTTGAATTGTCTGGCGAATTATCGAGTCTTTTCTTCTCTTTTGCCATATACATTGAATAAAAGTAAAGGAATCGAGGAACTGACGATACACAATTTCTTACAAAGTATGCAGCTCTGTCGTACTCTCGTGTATCAAAATATGATTTTGCTATGAAATAATTATCAAATTCATCTTGTGTAATTCCTGAATAACTACCAGCATCAACTGTGTTGGCATCAAAATTTGGTATCTGAAGACTAAAGTTCAGTTCCGAAAGCCATTTACCTGCAATTAATTGACATTTTTGTTTATTTCATAAACTTTATTGAAAATTGACTTACTTGAATGAATTAGACCACGCAAATTGCATTCCTTGATTCCTCTTATTAGGTCTGTCTTAATCTGTGGCAAATTAAACTTTAATTGCTCTGACATTTTGGGGAAAAACGAATATTAAATATTTAACAAAAAGTTCGATGAATTTGTTTACCGGTTTGAAATTTTTCCGTTAAAAAACTACAGACACAATGACTTTGGATAGTTCAAGTCAGTAAATAAGAGCATGTGTTTTGAAATTGATATTTTAAACACAAAATCTTATTTTAATTAATTTACATAGTTAATAGCAGTGAATTATATCCAGAAATGGTCAGGCATAATAATCAATTGCCAGACAATCTACCACAATTGCAAAATCTCGTCAAAAGAGATCCACAGAGCTATAAAGATGATTTTCTTCAACAGTATAATCACTTCCTCAACACACTTGAAATATTCAAGTTATCTCCGGATAAAGAGAGCAAGAGCTTAGACGAGCTTGTCATGTTCTTAGCACAGGTAATATATAACATTATCTAGTTACTGTCCTTAATCTTAATCTGTACCTGCTTACTTTGCAGGTTGCACAATGTTATCCAGAGGATTTGAAGCTATTTCCACAGCAACTCGTGGATCTTTTAAGGACACATTCGACAACACTTTGTAAAGAAATGAGAAATTCATTTTGTCGAGCCTTGATATTGTTAAGAAATAAGAATTTAATATCGCCACTGGATCTTCTTGAATTGTTCTTTCAACTTCTTCGATGTCCTGATAAGGAACTGAGAAAGTTCCTTGAGAATCACATCATTACAGACATTAAAAATATGAATTCGAAGCAAAAGGATATGAAGCTTAATGCTACTTTACAGAATTTTATGTATTCAATGATTAAAGATTCAAATCCAAGAGCTGCAAAAATGTCACTAGACATAATGATGGAACTTTATAAGAAGAATATCTGGAATGATGCAAAGACAGTCAATGTTATTGCCACTGTTGGATGTTTCTCAAAAATCACAAAAGTTTTAGTTGCATCATTAAAGTTTTTCTTAGGAACAGACGAAGATGACGAAAGCAGTGGAAGTGAAAGTGACGATAATGAGCCAGACTTAAAAGCAGCAGTTATGGCTAATCGTGTAAGTAAGAAAACGAAGAAAAGAACTAAACAGCTTGAGAATGTTAAGAAATTGTACAAAAAGTCACAAAATAAGAAGAAGAAAGCACCAAACTTTAATTTCTCAGCCATACACTTGATTAATAATCCACAAGGCATGGCTGAAGATTTATTTAAACAGCTTCAAGACGGAAATGAAAGATTTGAAGTGAAATTACTTCATTTGGATGTGATATCAAGATTAATTGGTATTCATGACTTGTTCATATTCAGTTTCTATCCATACGTGACTAGATTCTTACAGCCACATCAGCGACAAGTCACTCGCATTCTTCAATTTGCTGCACAAGCATCACACGAGTTAATTCCACCAGAAATTGTTGAGCCAATCAATAAAACAATTGCAAATAATTTTGTGACTGAAAGAAATTCGAGTGATGTTATGGCTATTGGCTTAAATGCTATCCGAGAAGTTTGTCAGCGATGTCCATTATCAATGAATGAAGATTTATTGCGTGATTTAGTCTTGTATAAAAGTTATAAGGATAAATCTGTTGTTATGGCTGCACGTTCATTAATTGCTTTATATCGTGAACAAATGCCTGACTTGCTCCACAAAAAAGATCGCGGACGTCCAACAGAAGCAAGTGTTGAAATAAAATCAAAGAAATATGGTGAAGTTAAGGCAGCAGAGCTTATTCCTGGTGCAGAAGCGCTTGTAAAGGAAGCAAAGAAAGTTAAAAATGACGATGCAGATGACGACAGCAGCGATGAAAGTGATAGTGATGATTCTGATGGATCTGACGATGGTTCATGGGTAGATGTCAGTCATTCTGAAAATGAAGTAGTTGGTTCCGATATCGATGAATCAGAGGGCAGCGAAGAAGAAACAAATGAAGTGGACGAAAAGGAAGCAGCAATGGAATTAGCATCAACTAAAATATTCACAGATGCTGATTTTAAGAAAATCGAAACAGAACTGCTTAAAAGAAAAGTCACAAATTCAAAGTCTAAGAAGCGTAAAGCAGAACCAGCACAGCCACAAGAAAAATCTGAAGTTGTAAGATTAAAGGATATTGAGATGATTTATAAGAAACGCAGAACTGACAAGGAAGCTCGTATCGAATCAATTAAGAAAGGTCGTGAAGGACGTGAAAAGTTTGGATATAAAGACGGTCGTCAAAACATTCATTGCTCAAAAACTAATCGTGAAAAAGAGAAGAATAAGAACTTTGGAATGGTCAGAAATAAGGCAAGAGGTAAGATAAAGAAGTCGTTTAGAGATAAGCAGATGGCACTAAGGAAGCATTTGATACAGCAGAAAAAGATGAAATAAATTGTAAAATTTTCCTTTATTCTCCGTGGAAGTTGATGCCGGTTTTATATTATGTTCAAAAAAATATATAATTATGGATTAATAAAATATTGCTGCATACATAAAATGAGTATTATAATAAATGCTATGCTAAGGAATGTCCTCAGTTGGTTTTTTGTCCAGTTTTTGGATTCAAATATTTGAAATTCAGTTTCTAGATCTGAAAAGAAAGGTGAAATGTGATTTTAAGTATCGAACCTTTGATTTCTAATTCATTTTTACTACGTTCTTTTTATTCAAAAATAGAGAAAATAGTCTTTAATTATGCAACTATTATATTTCTGTAAATAACTTTAAATTTTGAATTGCTCGAAAAATATTGAAGAATCAACAGTCAAAAAGAATTTAAAATTTAACGATTATTTCAAATTCAAATTTTTTACGGTTATTGAATCGGTTTTTGAGAAAATTTCAAATCTTAAAGTGACGTTAAATTTTAAATATAACGGTGAGTTTCTATATATTTTCTAGACCTTGCATCTATTGTCTATATAAATTGAGTGCAACAACTATATATCTACCACGAATTACATTCTTTGAATGTATCCTTCTTACGTTTTTGCTTTGGCTGAGAATCACTCTTTAAGCTCGATTCCTGGTCCGAAGATTCATCCTTTTTGCGTTTCTTTTGCATTCGTTCGGACTCTGTTTGATAGTCAGCGAAGCTCTTAATGTCAAATCCAGCTGCTTTTCCGATAGTTTTGATGACACAACTGCTATTTTCTCTATTCATGAGTGATATGAAGGCAGTTGAATTGTCAACCCAAGCAATTTGAATTTTACCATAATTTTTGAAATGATCATGGATGTCTGATCCAACCCAAGTATGTGGAAACTTGATGAAAAATACATGACTGCGATTTGGAATCGGCTCATTTCCAGTCAAGTAGATGTATGGATTCAAAATTCGCTGGAGAGCAATACGGTTAAGGAAAGCACCTAATTCCTTACTTTTTTCAAACTTCGGTGCCAGTGGAACTTTTAGATGATTTAATATGACGAGAAAGCAGTAGCCAGTAAGGAACGAATCATAGCCAGCTTCATGCTCTTTTGGAGTTTCGAGACTGTATGTATTGTATTCATCTTCCCATTTTACATTAACTTTATTGAATGGTTTCTTCAACAAGCGCTCATAGACATCATTAAGTACAGTCGATGAGAATATATCCTTGAATTTGTCAGAATTAGCTAAGAATTTTGTATCCATAATATATGGAAATTTCTCGTGAATTAACTTCTTAAAGCCATCATAATCCTCTGGTAATTCTTGAAAGCATTGATTTGTTAAATACATGATGTCAAGCAAGCAGTTGTGTCCAATTATGAGTTTCTTTGATGCTGATATTTCTTTCATGATCAAACGCAGTCCAATAGAATCAATAAGATTCCTTTCATCATCTCTAATCCTGTCATTTTCGAGCCTCATTTCATCTTCAGATGAGCGTTTGACTGATACAATTAAGGCTTTCTTATTATTTTCAAGATTCTTTGTGGATGTTGACACTTGGTTATAAAAATCTTGTTCAATTAATTCATACAATAGCTTCCGTTGAAATGCCGTTACTTTTTCAAATACAGCTTCTAGCAATGTCTTGTCTACGACTCGTTTAATCTGCTCTCGTGCATTATTTATAAATTCTCTTTCATTTTCAGGAATATTTATAAACACTCTACTTGAGATGTCTTGTTCCTCACTACTTATTCGTTTTTTAACTTGCTCCATACGCTGTTCCTGTTTTTCTTTCAAATTTGACCTCAACTTTTCTTCTTCAGCTGTTGTGCAGTACGATATTCCATTAGTAAACAACTTTGTGAAGTCAAATCCATTATTGCCCAAAAATGTGAGACTTTCAGCTTGGCAGGTAAACGTAGCAGTTCGATGACTCGGGAATGTATAGATATTATAAGATTTCAACTTTGGCAAGTCATCTTCTGGATCTTTTTTAAACATTGTCAATCCAAGTTGAATTATTATAAATCCTTTTGATGTTTTCAACTGTTTTTCATAATATTCCTTGCTAGAATCAAACGGCATGATATTCCTCTCACTGTTAATGCCTGTAAATTCACAATCAATACTGATAAAACATGATTCCTCGATGTCTTTTGTAATTTCCGGCAACAAATCTTTAAAATCTGAAAAAATGAATTAAATACGATTAAATTAAGGCATTTTTGTAGCTTAATATCAAGATAAGTATGTTATTTACTTGATTTTACAACTTCCATGGTTAATTACAATCGTTTTAACTTAAAAATTCTTAATTAAGGTGCAAATACATAGCCTACTGAAAACACACTCGAGATGACAGACAGACAATATTTCAATCAGTCACAAATTTGTGATACTTGGGCTAAAGAAAGTAAATAGAAAGCCCGCGAAAAAGAAAAATTAAAATTACATGCTTATTAAGTTAAATTACAGCATAATTTATACATCAACTAGTGTTTAATTGATTAAGGAATCATAATAATAAGGTAGAGCATGGTAGACAGTGTGAAAAGGTGAAACTTCAATAAATTTTTGTGTTGTTACAGATATATTTATTTAATTACACAATGTCAATTTTAAAGAAGGATAATTTCGACTATATGTCAGATGATCTCTTTGGAGGTAAGGATTGATATTAATTACAGCCTTCTGGATCATTAATCAGCGATATATAATATTAATTGCAGATGATGACGATATAGAGTTAAATTTATCAAATTTAGAGAGTAATACTCAAGAATCTGAGGATTTAAGCTTTTCATCACAAAGGTTTGAGGACAGGAGAATGCTCTATGAGAGTTACATGGCAGATCCAACAATACCGACTAGTCAAAAGAATGCAATGGGATTTTGGAAGAGCCTTTATAAGCCAACATATTCAACACAAAAAATTTATGAGCTGATGCAGCAACGGAACCTATTAGGACATTGTGAAGCACCAAGAAAAATGAAAACTCCCAAAATAAGAAGAAAGGTGGTTTACAATGAAGATTTTGGATATGACTGTACATTTTTTGCTCCAACAAAAGTGCTTATAGAAGAACAGAGACGACGTGAGGATATGCCGAAAGCAATCAAAGATATTTATGAGCAGAAAGGAATCGTTAATGCATCTCAAATCTATAAAATTGAACAAAAGTTAAAATGTGATAGCGACGAATCAGATGTTGAAATGAAGCCATCGACTTCAGGCATAAATAAAGTTCCTGAAGACACAGTTAGCAAAGAACTGAATAAATCTCTGCGAGAACTATCACGAACTGTATCTGAGCAGTATGAAATTTCTCAAATTATGAAGGATATCCAAAATATAAGCGACTTGGATGCATCACTTACTGAATTATCAGAGAAAATTCAATATTCATCAAAAGCTGAGCAGTTAGTAAATCATACGATAAGTTGCAGCCAAAGACTAAAGATCCTCGACGACATTTGCACCAACAATTTATACATAAATACATGTGATCTGCTTTCTGATGATGAATTAAGGAAGAGTTCTCAAGAATCTCATTGTGATATTATTTCTGATGCATTCAAAAGTCCAGCCGTGCCTGATAAAAGTGATATTAATGATAATATACCTAATAATCTTGTCCAAAACAACAACGAAAGTGTTCCAAAGCATGTGAAATTCTCGTTTGCATCTGGAAAAACCATTAATGTCGATAATAAGTCAATCATGAAGTTCAAGACTATATTTGATAATGAAGAGAAGAAAATACAGTTAAATGAAAATCTAAAAGTTCCAGAACAAATCAAAAATCCAGAACTACCAAAAAGTGCATCACAAATTGTTTCAAAAAATAATGGAAGCGCTGGATTTGTTTTTGCATCCGGTAAATCAGCACTTATAAGCACGTCGAAGCTGCAAGCATTCGAGAAAAAGTTCAAAAATGAGGAAGCAAAATTAAAGAAATTAGAAAGTGAATTTCCGTCATCATCAATTGAACTTTGTTCCCAAAAACTAAAAGACAATAAAGAGAATGACGGAAATGCACAAAACAGTCCACAAAAGCCGTCCAAAAAGTCATCTCAAGAGAATTTAAAAACACAGGAAAATGAGCTCAAATCTCGTACCTTTAAAAGAGTAAGGGGTGAATCATCAGCTCTTCGTCGCATAAAGTCAAAATCATTATTAGGTTTAAAACCTAAAAAAGTCAAGTTTGATGACAGCGTGATTGATAAAAACGATGAGACAGTCAGCACTACAAATTCTATTATTGTACCAGAAGTACCTGAAATAATTCAGCCAGTTCCAATGCAATTTGAATTCAGTTTTGCTTCTGGAAAGAATATTAAAATCAGTGATGCATCAGTTTCAAAGTTTAAAAATATATTTGAGAATGAAGAGAGAAATATGGAACTGCTGGAAAATGTAAAGGGACCTCAACAGGTTGGCTTTAGTTTCGCATCAGGCAAGAACATTAAAATTGACAGCAAATCAGTTGCTAAATTTAAGAATATTTTTGAAACTGAAGAACGGAAAATTGATTCACTTGAAAGCACAAAAGTGGTGGTTCCCAAGCCACAAAATGCTTTGGTTCCAGCTTCAACTTGTGGCTTCGTTTTTGCGTCCGGAAAAACTGCAAATATTGATAGCTCAAAGTTGCTTAATATTGAGAAAAAGTTTATGGCAGAGGAAGAGAAAATGAAAAAGATTGATGGCGATTTGAAGGTTCTGGAATGCATTAAAATGTCCAACAATGAGATTTCCATTGGAAGTAAAAACATTTCTACAGGAAATTTCAAAAAGTTTGATGCAATAAAAATTTCCACTGGAAGTCACTTAAAAGCAACAGGAAGTTCAACAAATTCCAATGTAATCCCAGAAAGAGTCACTGGAAGTAAGGATGCTTCCACTGGAAATCAAGACAAGTCCGATGGAACTAAAATTGCTTCCAATAAAAGTCATGAAGTCACTCGAAGTAAAACCCCAACAACTGGAAGTATTAACACTTCCAATGAAAATCAAGATCGAGTCACTGGAAGTAGAAATAATTCCACTGGAAGTCAAAGAAAATTATTTGAAAATTTATCGACTGGAAATCAACAAAAATCTGGAAATGAGTTTAATTCCATTAAAAATGACAAAGCTTGCAAATCAAATGGTTCACAAATTTATTTTGAAGACATCAGTCTTGCATCGCAATACAGACTGTCCATGGAAGTGTATCAATCAAGCTCTGAAGATGAAAAATATAAATCAAAAAAATCCAATGATTTAAATTCGCGTACCAAAAAGTTTAAGTCTGCATTAACGAGAAATTTGAAGAAACCCAATTTTGACATTAACAAAAACTTGAATGACAGCAAAATAGGAGCTAAAATTCCTTCATCTAGTCTAACAGAATCGAATAAAAATTCACACAATGAAAATCAGCCATCAACTTCGAAATGTGCCTTCGTTTTTGCGTCTGGAAAAAATGTGGACATCAACCAGTCAAAAATCAACGATGCTAAGAAAAATTTTGCAGGAGAAGTGGACGAACATGACATTTCTATCCCTTGTCAGCCATCAATTGACTTGTCAGACAAATCTCAAACTTCAAAAGCAGGCACTAACGATAATGATACACAATCAAGTACTAAATCTTCATCAAAAACTGGAAATTACAGCATAAACTTTAATTCTCATAGACTTAATTCCTTAAGAGTAAAAAGAAAGCATGAAGACGATTCCGATATTTTTAATTTTGATCTTTCAACACATTCGATGAGAAGTAAGAAGACATCGCAGACACCAACAGCTCCTGCGAATAAAATACTCGATTCTGGGATTGAGTCACAAAACAATAAAGTTGAATCTCCGAAGATGCCATTCAAGAAATTTGAATTTTTCTCGCCAATGTTTACGTCAAGTCCAGTCGTTAATCCAACAGCAGCTAAAAGTAGACAAAAACTTTTAAGACTAAATGATAGAAAAGCTGAATACATGGCAGCAGATCCATTTGAAGCTATAAAGAGGAAATTTATGCCAGACGTTAATAAACCAACGATAGTTAAGAGACTAGCTGTGGATAATGATGACGATATTATGATATCGCCAATTGTTAAGGACAAAAAGAGACAAAAAAGAAGTGTTGAAAAGCCAATCAGTTCCAGAAATTTTAATACTTCAAACTTTTTCCGACAAGAGACTTTAGGACAACGACTAGCTGATATTGAAGAGTTTATGGATCTTCAGTCACAACTTAATTTAATTGGAAATGATCCGACTGAGTCGCAAGTTGTTAGCATCCTTGAAATAGAGCAACAACATATAAGTCGATACGAGACTGAAAATAGAGTTAAAATTGAGCGTAAGCAAGCAATTAAGGAACAAATGGAGTATGTCAATAATAAACCTGAAGATGAGTCACGACAAATGACAGGAACAATGTTTATGATGAAATGTGGATCAAGACGAAATTTAAAGGATTATGTTGAAAATAAGAAACCACAAGACAAAAATATCCATGAACTGACTTTTAATAATCTTTTGGACTTTAAATTTGACATGAAAAATTATATTGAGGATGCGTGGTCGAGAGTGTCGGTTACTGTAGCTGATAATGCGAAACTAATTTTAGACGAAACATCGAATGTTGGATTTAATGAGATCATGTATAGCTTTCTAGCATCTTATGGAGTTGATCCAAAACTTATTAAGCACGAATGGCTGCAAAATGCTTACAAAATGATTTTAATTAAATTTATTTGGATGGAAAATTCGTTTGACAAGATTGAAAAGTTTGAAGTTTTGACGCCTGAAAATGTCTTGTTGCAATTAAAATACAGATATGACCGGGAAATTGATAGACATCAGCGACCAGCTATAAGGAAGATTACAGAAAGAGATGAAGTGTCAAATCGACGAATTGTCCTTAAAGTTATTGATGTTATTTATAATATGAATGTTGGATATGAATTGGAATTGAGTGATGGCTGGTACAAAATGCGCACATGTGTTGATTCATGCCTGGCTGAAGCAATTTCAAGGAAGAAAATTGCTTTAAATACGAAACTATTGATCTGTAATTCTGAGCTGGTTAATATGTTTTCAAGTGCTTATCATCCATTAGAATTGCCTCAAGGTGTTCGATTAAAAATTCATGGAAATTCTACGAGAATTGTAAGCTATGAGACGAAGCTAGGATTTTGCAAGATCCCGCATTCATTCTTAATTTCTGTTGATTCGATTTCGAGTGATGGAGGTGTTATTGGAAGATTGAAGCTGTTCATAACTCATGTTTATACTATAGTTTATGTCGAGTCTAATGGCGAAAAGAAGGGTAAGTTCCGATAAAATTTGAATAAACTTTTAAACGGTTTTGAAAAACTCAAATTTTTTTGAGCTATAAATTTTGAATTTTTGAAAACCGTTATTATTTTAAAATTTTTAAAAACCGTTAAAAATCAATCTAATATTCAACTTTGTTTCAGAGTTTCGATCAGAAAAAATGCAAAATCGTTTAGAAAACAAAAAGGAAATTCTGTACAGCACAATATTCGAAAAGATACAGAAGCAAATCATGCAGGAAAGTTATAATGAGTTAAAAGAAAGAGTTGGAAAAATTGACAAATCGAAACTAGTTTTGGCAAAGATGTCAATCCACGAAATATGTGATATTTTGGAATATGAAAGTGAAAGTGATTTATCATATGCCATCAGAAGTCAAATGTCATTAAAACAAGTCGAGAAAATTCAGGAAATTTATCACCAAAGAAAATTTGAACTCAATCAAAAGATTAAGGAACGAATCAATCAAAATGAGAATAATGTGGCTCAGTTACTTAAATTTCGGGTTGTTGATGCTAATAAACCAAAAAAGACAGCACTTGTGAGTTGGTGGCAACCATCAGAAGAGTTACTGAATATAATTAAGCAAGGAAATGCGATAGAATTATTTAAGACAGCCAGTGCTGGTAAATTTCAAGCAATGTGCGGCGGTGAGATTCAAATTCATGCTGACAAGTCAACAGTTGTAAAGCTTTTAAAGATAAGTAATGCTAAAGACAAGTTTGATTATTATATTCGCAAAGAAACAAAATTTGAGGACATAACTCATGTCTTTAGTCCACTGAACAATGAATTTGATGTTGCTTGCATGATTGTTCATGTAAATGAGAAACTGAGTCACGAGAAGTTGCAAAGAGTTTACGTGGCTAATGAAAGATTTAATTTCATGAGTTTAAACTTCTATCCAAGCCTTACTGATTATGCCTACGATGACGTACTAATTGAGGGAAAAATTTTGTATATTCGGAACTTACAATGGCGAAAAATGTTTAAGCACAATAATTTTCCAGAAGCACATGCAGTTATTGATTCTACAATTTTCATCAGTAATCCAAAGGATGAGAGTCAAAAGACTAGATTGCAGGAATTTATGAATAATATTGAGGATACTGGAAATTATTTACAAAAATGTCGTGAAAAACTTGAAACATTTATCGGAAAAATTCCATCAAAATCGAATGCATCCAACATGCCTTTAAACTTCATAACACCATCACCGCTAGTAACTTCTAGAAAACGTGTCCTTGGAATGAAGCGAATCCCACAAAAATACAGTTTTTCTTAATTCATGAAAATATTGTTTTTATTAAAAAGTTTTAATAAAATTTGTTAAATTTCAATTCATTTTCTTTTGTTTTAAACGGGTTTAAAAATTTTGATTTTTTAACAGTCTTGTAGATTTTGACATTCCAATTTTTTGAAAACCGTTAAAATTCAAACTTAAAAAATCCGTTAATTACAACCTTTGCCAATCCATTAATCTACTTCCGTTTAAGATTAGTTGTAGGTCGAATAACTTTCTTTCTCTCCTCTCGATGCTTCTTCATATCTTCTTGTCTCTTTATAGCTGACTTACTGATTTTTGTATCGGTGCTAAAACTCATTTGTCTATTTCCAAGACCAGAAATTATTTGCACTTTTGGTTTTTCCTTTTCTTTAGCCACTCGAGCACCTAGTGATGTCTTGACGACTTTTTGTGATAATTCATTAATTTTAAATGTGTCAATATCATGCATTTCTATTGACTTTTGCTTAGTATCGTCTTCCATGTCCACATCATCTTTAGGTTTACGTTTTTTCTCTTTTTGAATTCTTTTATGTTCCTTTTTGACTTCCTTCCATTTGCTATTGTCTTCGTCGTCTGAACTTTCTTCTTCCTTTTCAGAGAATAAGTCATCGTCGGTACTTGCTTCATCCTTATCGCCATTTTCATCATTTTGTGCATATTTCTTTTCTAATTTCTTTACCTTGCTCTTGTCCAGTTGTGTCAATAAAGGCTTAAGCAGTCTGTATTCTTCTGTTGACTTGTCAACTTCAAATTCTGGATTTTCAAACATAGCCTTGAAACGATCATCTTTAAGAAGATTTGATGTTTTTGTCTTCTTGCCACTATCTTCTGTGTCCATAAATTTAAGTGCAATTTCACGATTAACTTTCGGCACATCCGATTTAACTTGTAATCTTTGTGGTCTTGATTCCTCAATTTTCTTCTGGATCTTTTCTTTTCTGTATCTATCAAATGTTTTCGGTTCAGAAGCTGATTTAGCTTTATTATACAGTCTAATATCAACAAAATATCCGTGCATGTATGCTTTTAATAAATTTGTTCCTTCAAGATGATCTAATCCGAGACTCATAAGTTCCTGCTTAGTGACAAACTTGTAGTCATCATAAATCTCTTGAACGACTTCCGATTCAATTTCTTCTGTTAGGTTGTCAAGGAATGCACACCATCTTGGTGCTGGTCCTAACGATGGGATATAGAATGTCTGCATTTTTACATCTTCTTGTGCGAAAAAGAACATTCCAGTATTTGGGATTGTACAAAAGTCATTGAAGTTTGATTGTGACTCGATATATGCCGTCTGCTTGCCTGTATTTTCATCCCAAATCTTTAACATTGCACTATCCATGGAATAAATTACGTTCTGGCTAGGATTGAAATCAATTTTCCTTACTGGAATTCTGTTGAGATGATCTTTAACAAGGAGAGGCTCACTAGATCGAATATCATAGAGTAAAACGTGTCCACTTGCAGTTCCAACAGCCATATGAAGACCATTTTTGAATTTTACAGATGTTATTGAAGGGAAATTAATATTGTTCTTAATTTTCATAGCTACATCAAGTGTTGAACATTTCCTTTTGTCTCTTGGATCCCATGCTTCAATCCAGCCTTCTTGTGATCCAACACATAATAAATGATGCTCTTGATTTATGTCACAAGTATTAAATCCACAAGATTGACTTTCATATGGTTGAAGGAACTGACCACGTTCGAGATTTAGTCGATAAATCTCAGACGATGATCCAACAACGAATAAATCACATGAAGGTGTATGATAAGACATGGATCTACCTACTTTTGGAACCCTTAATCGATAATGTCGTCCATGAGCAGCATGAAATTCAACATAACGATCTGACTGTAGAAATACTAGTTTACTATAATCATCACTAAGAACTTCAAAGGTCTCAACTTCAGAGTCAAAGCATCGCTCAAATTTTACAGACAGGTGATTTACATCGTAGCACTTTATTCTTGGCTTGTAAGTGCCTGTGACTAATATATATTGATTATCAGGTGACATTCGGATTGATGTTGAGACTCCTGGCATGTCAAAATCCTGTATCAGCTCTATCCTCTTCCGTAAATCCACATTTTTATTAACTGACGATTTCTTCTTTCGATCTGTAAGCCACTAAAAGTTGAAATATGTGTTATTAATGAGAAATGAAGGAATTGATGTGGTTACTTACATCTGGTAGTGACTTTCCAGCACTTAGATTAAATATTTTAACATCATTAACGTCCGAAACAAACATTTTTAATTAATTTTATTATTTTCTGTCTATGTTGAATTTCAGTCACATTGCTGTGTTTACAAACTTTAAAAGTAATTTGAATTTCAAACGACCGTTATGCTTACAAAACATAGAGAGTAGTTGAGATATTGAACATATCCAGAAGTAAGCAAAATTGTATTTTCAAACTCTTGAACAAATAAAATATTAATTACATTAACCAGAAATGGCACAAAACCTTTGAGACAGTATTTGGTCATCTCGGAAATTTTTGAGCAGGAAAATTTAAAATTTTCAAAAAATAATTCCACACGTGCTTAACGGCTTTTACTCAATCTAAGATAAAGGAGAGATTTTAAGATTCTCAAAGGTTCTTAGCAGTTCCTAGCAGCTCATTTTGCCCAATATATGTCAGAAACATCAAATACCTATAATAGTCGTGTAATTTTGTAACTTTCTTCACAAGCAATGTTTTCTGCTAAGCCATGCGACCTTGAAGTATACATACAAGTTCAATAAAACGAGTAATTAATTAGTAACACGTCCGTAAAGCATTCTTGAATGTCATTAACTAGTTTTGTGTTAATTCTTTTGATGTTTTCATTTCATTTGTAGCTTTCATAGCAGCTAATTGTGTTTAAAAAGTGCTGTGCATTAAATTTTTTGAAGTCATCAATATGAAATTGCTGATCCTATTAAGTTGCTTCTTTGGGATCTCATCTTGCCTAGAAGAATTTATTAAATGGAACCAAATTGAGTATGAAAATCTTCCAGGTAATGCTTATTTGTAATGTTGTCAGATTTAAGTTATTGTTGATTTTTATATCCATCAGAAACCGGGAATTTCCCATTCATCCAATACAACAATGTTCCTCAAGGGTTTGCGCCATACAAAGGTAAGAAAAGTTGCTTATTTTAACTCATATCGCTAAATTCAATAGCTTAATAATTGCCTAAAAGATAAAATCTTCATTGCCGTGCCTCGAAGGAATCATGGAATTCCATCAACATTAAATTATGTCAAGCTAGAACATGGAAAGGATGTATACACCAATCCAAAACTTCAAAGCTATCCAAACTATGAGACAAATGAATTGGATGTAAGTAAAATTACCAGCTATTAAGTTCTGTCTAATATTTTGTATCCAACAGCCATCAAATCAAGCAAATCCCAACCGAATCATATCAGTCTACCGTCCACGAGTTGATGAATGTGATAGGCTTTGGTTTGTGGATAGCGGTGTAATTAACACAAGTGGTATGTCCATCTTATGTTCATACGAGACTTCCTTATACCTCAAATTTACATCTCTTAGGTAATCTATCAATCATCCAACGACCATCAATTTGGGTATTCGATCTTAAAACTGATCAACTTGTAAAGCGATTTGAAATTCCTGAAAATGTGGTTCGTGATGGTCTTGGTCTTGCCAGTATTACTGTTGATGTCATCGATTGTAATGGAAATTCTTTTGCGTACATCCCAGACTTGCTGAATTCGCAAATGATAATTTACAACTTACAAGATGATAAAGCTTATCGCATGCAGCATAACTACTTTCGTATGAATCCTTTCGAAGGAGATTTTGATGTTGATGGACTTCAATTTAGCTGGGATGATGGAATATTCTCGATTACTTTGTCAAACATAGATAACGATGGGTATAGAACTGCTTATTTCCATCCAATGAGCAGGTAAGTTGGCATAATCGAGTTTGAAGACATTTATTTATTATTTCCTCAAATTGTTGCTTCCAGTTTCTCTGAATTTGCAGTATCAACTAGTGTATTGAGGAATGAAACTTTGGCATCTCGTGGATATCATGGAAATGACGTTAAAGTAAGTATGAACTGATTAGAAGTGTCAATAAGGGTCACTTACCTGTGACAGAAATATAAAAGACTATCATGCCTTATTTGAGCTAAATCAAGTGACTTGTCAAGCATGCTAATTCACTGCATAAAATAATTACGTTTACATTTATTGAATAATTGATTATCCTACACGCTTCATACTGTACAGCAAATGCATTTATGCCTTCTCATTTCTTTCCTTCTCCTTCCTATCATCATAGCTTGTTGGCAATCGTGGCAAAAACACACAGAGTACAATGCACTCATTTCATGCAGCAACTGGAGTTGTTTATTATGCACAAATCAATAAGAATGCTGTGTCATGTTGGAATAGCAATCGAGAACTTAAGTCAACGAATTTTAAGGAAGTCGTTCGTGATGATGTCAAACTGATTTATCCAAGTGATTTGAAAGTAAGTTTGTGTTTAATATTCGATGAATTCTGTTTAATCCAATTCTAATGTAGGTTTCCGGTGACGATCTTTATGTGATGTCAAATCGAATGATTCGTCACATTTACTCAAAACTTGATACGAATGACTTCAACTTCCGGATTTTCAAAATATCAATCAAGGATGCAAGATGCAGTGCAACTCAGACTAGACGACGAAAATTCAGAAATTGAAGGTTGTGATGGAAAGTGCAAAAAATTGTTGTGACTTAATTAGATGTGCACTTTCACTTTTGATGATAAATTCAGATACTTGTTTAAGGTTCAGGTCAGTTTAGGTGCTTAATGGAATTCAACTTTGTGTCATAATAAAGAAAGTTCATTTGAAAAAGTAATAAGTGAAGTTGTTGTTCCTTGATCTTACCTTGCTGTGTTGAATTCACTGGATTGAAATTGAACGATTGATGTCAAATATGTTTGAATGTTAATGTTAATGTTTCCATGTTCATTTCGATCTAAAGGATTGTTTTGAACAAATCTCAAAAATCAAGTCTCTTAACTTCTATTTGAAATTTTACTTTCTTTGAAGCAGCAAGCTTGTGCCTTCAGTTGCTTTCAATTTCAGCTAATCAGTTTCATAACCTATCAAAAATCAGCAAAGATACTATCAATGAGATGCATTAAAAATGAGTAAAATTAATGATCTCACGTAGGCAGATGAGATGATACATATCTACTATGAACAGCATGCATGGATGCAATGTGATGACTCATTTCAGTAATTAAAATCTTGAATTTCTTTGAATAAACAAAAGGTTCCTCAAACGTTTTGAAGAATATGTAGCTCAACGTCGGTCATTGCAATGCGCAGCAAAACATAATTAGTTTTGTGCTTCCTCACCCGAAAAACATAATTCAGATCTGCCTATAAGCAAATTATGATTTCATCGAAGAAAATGTAATTAAACGCAGACAAAAACGGAAAGTGTGTTAAATAACCGGTAGGTAGCACTAGAAAATTATGTTTGCTTATTTCTAAAATCACATTAACTTCGGAAATGGATTGAGTAAGATTTTAAATGTCACTGTGGCTGTGGCTATGAACTTCGGATTTTGGAGTATTTGTTTTCAATTGGATGAATTGATCTTGGGTTTGAAATAAAAGGGTTATCTATGGATTGTTTAATTCTATCCAGGACAGTCCATTGATTGTGCTTATCTACCTTAAAGTTGATTCATGTAGTTCCAAACTAGCTGAAACATCAACAATTTCATTCAGCTGCAAGAGTTCACTTGATTTCTCAGGTTGTCGACTGCAGATGTTCTTAAACGTAAAAGGATCATCAAGTTTAAATTTTTAAGTGGAGGAATGTAAAGTAATTGCAAATTTTTGGATTTTTTGACACATTTACAAATATTCACAGTAAGAACATTAGGATACTACTAAGTATGTACTCAGATGCCCAAAAACACTTAAGCAGTTAAGTGCCTTGCTGGTCGAATAGGTAAGGCGCTTCGCTCAAATTTGGTATGGTAACTTGAAGGTCGTCGGTTCGAATCCAGCCATTTCCAAATTTGTTCTTTTTCAGAAGTTTAGATACGTCGACTGCTTAATGTAGAAGATCAAGCCATAATTGGGCATTTGGGCAACGTTGGATTAAGGAACGGATCAGGAACTTGAAGTGTAGCGGGAGAAATAGGAACGAGATCTACAAGATTACCTTATAATGGAATATTGTCAGAACGGACCTGAAATGTATCACGTCACGCCCACAGAAGATCGAAACGAGAGCCTGAATTTAATCGAAACCTAGATTTGAAGATTAGAAGCTTGATTCTACGTCACCCATAGTGATATTAAATGTATCACTAATCAATGTAAAAAGTAAAACATGTATAAATACTAATTCTTCCGGACGGTAACGTCGACAAATAAATAATTATAATAAACAGACTCAAAGCTATCAGTTACATCAAAAATTGTCGAAATTAATCACATAATCAATCACACCGTAACCATAAACTCGATGAAAACATTATTATTAAGTGCAAAAATTACACCTTAAAATAAAAGATCATTACATGAAGGAACAGTTCATGACAGTGGCAAACATTAATAGTTTTTTAATCCAGTAATGAAATTGCATAATTCTTGTTGCTTGAAAACAAAACAGCTTGTTACTTCATAATGAACAACATGATCAAAATGAGAAGTAAATAGATGCTATAATAATCATTTGATAAAATGACGACGCAGGTTTTCTGGTAATCGTTGAGGTTAACGCATGCTGGCTACGTGAAAAATTTGTATGCAAAATAATTAATCATATTTTATTATTTAGCAAATTCACCAATTATCTCACATCCATAAGCTACTTTGTGCGTATTGTAAGTAACTGTTACAGCTTCCGCATGATGAAAAATTTCCATTATTTTTCGATTTTTCATTGCTCACACATTGTCAATGATTGAATATGGGTTAATAATGCTTATTATTTTTATATTATTTTTCTCATTTCTTTTATAGATGCTATTGATGAGTTTATGTGTTGTTATACGCACAGACATTTGTAGCTCCCCGGCTTGTTGTTTTTCATTTTACTCAATTTTACTAATGAAAATTTTTGATGCTTTGAATTGGGATAGAGTTTTGAACTTCCATGTGAGTTTTGACACACTTTTTGATTTAAAGCATAAGAAGTCGTTCACTTATGGGCCGAATTTTAGGGGGGGGGGGGGTTGAAAAATTGTAACAAAATGTAACAAAGGGGGGGGGGGGGTGTCAAGAATTTTTTTTTAAATTATCCATGTTTTTAATGATTTATGAAAAATTATCAAAATAAAATAAATTATGACGTTCACAGGGGGGGGGGGGTGTGAGTTGTAACATATTGTAACAAGGGGGGAGGGGGGAGATGGGTGAAAAAAATCGTTTTTTTTGTTACATTTCGAGGATGAGCTCTGCAAGGCTGTTATAAGTTACGATCGCTAGAGTGTCTTGTCTATGCCTTCGTACACTAAGCACCAGTTCAGTTCCAGTATGAGCCAACAAAACCAAGCTAACCTTCCAAAGAAGATCATAACCGCTTGGAAGTCAACATGATTAGACTACTAACTGGTGTTGGTATTTTGTTGTTGTTGGTAATGCACAGCATAATGTGCTCTTTTCACTTCCACAAAGAGACGATATTTTTTAGGCGGAAAACACACAGAAATCTCGAGCAATTCAAATCAAAGTTATAAAAGCGAGTGTAAGATCAACATTTTGCCACATTTATTAATCGAAAGCACCAAGAGTCAGCATACAAAATAATTTTCATTGGAATTAAGTGCCGTGCATAAAAATATATCCGAAAACATAAAACAGAAGATAAGAAATAAGCACCAATAATACGGAAATATCGTGATAAAATAAAACAAGCAACAATTATGGCATCAGTTATGAGAATTGTAAGTGACAGGTTTCCAATCATGTGCATCATACTTACTGTGTCAAATCTTATATGTTCATAAGTGGAAGTAGTGATAAAATTGCATAGTGAAAGGAGAAAAACTTGAATTGCGCAATGAATTAATAGTGTGCATAATAATACATAAAACTAATGGCCTATATCTTTTCTTTATGTGAATGTTCCAGATCATGGCATCTTTTCTTGTGCTCTCACTTGTCGCCTTCTCACTATCGGCTCCAATGCCAGGAGGAAAATCACATTCTAAGTAAGTATAAGCTACAATTGATGGTACAAAGGCTTGGAGAATTGGATTCAAGCTTATGAATGTTCTGTCTGAGCTGCTCATAATAAATTGCACCAACCTTTATGCTTGATCCTAATCTAATCATTGAAAAATAAAGGATTGATCTTTAAATTCATAGCAAAATACAAAACATTGAGCCATAAATTTCTCAATTCTCTAAATTCCATTGATGATACTTACTAAAGTGATTATGTTGCTAATCACAATCACCAACAATTACTTGCTAAATACTCTCCATTGTGGCTTATTGCTTCACATAAATATAATTGTTGAAAGATGATTCGATAATATTAATCTTGCTTTAATCACACAACGATTATGATCGGATGTCGCAAAACTTAACAATAAACAGCTTTGTAAATTGATGTACATATACTCAATAATGTCAATGTTTATATAACAAATAATTATGATCGTAATTGTACATTTGACATATTTGGAGATGATCATAATTTCGTTTGTGTGACTTAATTGAATAGGAAATCGATGAATCAATCCTTGAGCAAACAGAATGATCCCAAATCATTTCACAGTTCCAACAAAACCAATTTAACAAAATTTCCCTTCCAATATATTTTACAGAGTAAGAATTCACGTTCCAGTCAAACATCACACACACGTCATAACAAAAACACAGGTAAAAACCGTCCACATAGGAGTTCCAATCAAAGAGAAGCCAAAAAAGCATGGATGGGATTCATCATGGGCATACAGTAAGAAAAGTAAGCGATTCAGAAAGCCACCACCGATGTTTTTTATCAATTACTAATCACTAAGCAAGAAGCTTGATGGAAAAAGTGCAAATATGGTTGCTAATTCATTGCCAATTAACTCATTCCTTACCTCAGACCTAGAACATTAAAAAAAATCCCATTCATTAACTAGTTTTAAAATGTTGTTGTTTTGTGTGCGTGTGCAAGGTATAAAGCTTAACTTAATTAACGTATGTATTTAATTGACTGACTATAAACATGAACTAATGATTAAGTGACTGACACTTTTCTTTCTTATCTGACATTTCTTTTATGACAGAGCCACGATGGTGAAGACTTGATACATCAGACAGGTGTTGAAATCTTTTAGTGATTTAAGTCTATAAACATTCTCAGTTTACTTTTTGTACCTTGTGGAGTCCTTTTAAGTGTTTTGTGTGCTTTTTCGTGATTTCTACTCAGCAACTCGTTCCTTGTTTTTTGGAGTATCAGCTTGAGAATCATCTCAGATATTCTTGACATGTAGGACTAAAGTCGAAGCTTCAGCTAAGTTTAGCTGTAGCTATACATGGTTGCTGGGATCTTAGACTTGTTAAGTTCTTTTTGAATTAGTTTTAAGTGTCAATAAATGAAAATATTGAGTACAAAAAAAATTGTTGTTTTAGTTTTTAATTGAAGATTGTTAAGTCATCGTTTTAATTTCAGATATCAAAGCTATTGAAACATCAAGAAGGAAGAAGCAAACTTCTAGATGACAAAACCAGAGAAAAAAGTATAATCCGAATAACGGATCCCGAGCGGGACTCGAACCCACGTCCTACAAATTCCGGTATACTTTAAGTATTTAGGGGCCGTTCACTTATGACATCCAAAATTAACGGTAATTTTTCAAACAATGGATTTCCAGGAATTTTTATTGTTCTTTTCTTGCTGCCCCCCCCCCCCTCCCCCCCGGACGTCATAAGTGAACGGTCCCTAAAATACTTAAAGTATTTCTTAAAACTTAGTGATCAACAGCTATTGCATAATGCTTTCCGATATTTACTCCAAATTGCGAATATTTGAGTATTTTATGTTCATTACGTGGTTGTTATGTTCATTATTCATGCTGCTGTTCCTAATTACTTTAATACGCAGTAAATTTCAGTGAAATTTTTCAAATAAGAAGATCGAATTAGTTTTCATAAAAATGTGAATTCAATATTGTTATTTAAATAAAATAAAATAGTGGATAATTAGCACTACAATAAGCAGAAATGTATGTTACTGATTTAAATTTAAATCTGGTAAAATCTGTGTTGTATAAGAGAATTAAAATAATTGAAATTTGTTTTAACAAACAATAAAATTAGTTCATTTATTGTGGCAATTGATGAAGTTTGATCTGCTGAATGTTTTTGTTGTGTTTTAAAATTCATTTTGAATTATTTTCTAGATTTTTATAACAATTATGTTCATTAATGACAACTATTTTGAGGAACATGATTAACTAAGACCGAACTTAGCTTTGACCCTAGTAAATCGAGATCTTATCAAAAGGACGAAGTTTATGCTGTTAATCGCAAAAAGTACTTTAATATGCATTAAACTACAAAAATATGAAACAATAAACTTTATGCTGGAATAATAAAAATAATAATCCTTTATTTAATTCAATGGTTTAAGGCGGAACAGAAATGACAATATTCTGATATTAACCTGTCGGTTTTAAATCAGATGTTATAATGAAGGTAATTGATAAAATGACAAGAAGTTATGTAATGTGACATCTTGATATGTGGTTCAAAAAATTTAACAAAAAGACCAATATAAAAAATTATGCTGCTCAGAGATGCTAAACTTAATGTTCAATGATAAAAGCTTTTGGATTATTTCTATCAAACTTTTAGCATAAAATATATTTTCTATAGCCAACATTTGGAGTGCTTAATATTTTTGAACATTCGGTTAATCAAGCTTCGATTAAAGCTTCAGTTCCCCCCAAAAAATAAGCTTTCATGCATGCTCAGTACTAGCTTTAAATTGAGAAAATTACAGCACTTTGAGTACTTGAAGTAAAGCTTGAGCACAAATGAAAACGAAAGTGCTCTCAACATTTTCAATATCAAAGTTGAATGACCCAATGAATGTAAATAAACATTTAAACTGAGTAAAGCATGTACTTCAATAATTTAAGTTGTATATCATTTGAACTGAATTTTATTATTTCTAGATCCTTGAGATTGATGCTTTTTCAAACTATTCAAGTAATAAGTGCTGAAATTTCAAATTTACAAATTTACTACTTTATCAATGACACTAGCAATTGAAATAACACTTAAAGTAGTTAATTTTGGGGATTTTTACTATTGCTAAAATATTTTTATTCATCAGCTACAAAGTAAGTGAATGCAATGGTTATTTTCAATGACTTTTAAGAAGAAAAGTAAGTCAAGTTTAATCCATTAGATTATGTGAAGTACCGGAGAGGTAATGTTAATGTTGTGGATATTTAACAGAAACAGTAAACTTGGCTCAAGCAGGAATCGAATTCGAGGCCTTACCGATTTCTGTTTGCATCCATTTACTATTCGGACTATTTGGGATTGCTAAGACTCCCATATAATAGACATATATTATTGAATGATTACTGGGGGTCTTCGATTTGAGTAGGTGTTTTGTTCCAAAAATTCCTATTTAAATCGAATCTACTCAAAACGAATTATTTACTTTTTGTATGAAAAATGTCCGTTACAGAAAAATATTTTAAATTTTCTATTCATTAATTCTCATTACTCAAATTGAATCTACTCAAATCGAGGACCCCCAGTACTAAAACCCGTCTCTGCTGAAAACCTTTAACAACTGACACAAATTGACAATTGAAATTTGTTAAGCTTCTTAAACAGCAGTAGCTTCATTGATCAACATCCAAATGTATGGCTCATCAAACAATCATTTTTCAAACGATAGCGCCAGCAATAAGCATTCATAATGAACCTCCTTACATCTCCTTTCTTTTTGTTCAATTTCCAAAAAAGGCAAATCAATCATAATGATTTTTATTAGTTGAATATTAAAGCACGGAAAGGAAGCATTAACAAAGATAATTATCAATCATCGTTCACCACACATGTATCAGTAATAAGAAGTAAGAAGACTAAAAAGTTGCAGAAATACTGAAACATTGTTCAATTAAGTTATTATATAATTCAAATGTTTACATTTTATTTGTGTCATAAACTCTCGCCTGGAGTAACCCGAGAGTGAAATGACATGAGATTGAGTCAAAATTCATGACATGTAAATAAAAATGTTACGATTTCGTTTCTTCTTCTTGTGTGCCTTGATATTTTTGGCGGGTCTTAAAATAGCAACATAATTAACGTTAAGTTTCAGATAAATTATTAGTTGTGGCTCTCGCGGTTCACCTTTCATTATTAATTGCTCTTTTATTGTTGCTTATTGCATCAATTTAGCTGTGGTTATGAATGCAGGAGATAATGCATTAGCTTAAATTTTAATAATCGTTAATGAGGCATGAAGCTTGGATAGATCTTGATACATTTTGGGATATTTAAGATGCCTGATCTTCAGGATCTCAATAAAAATGCGTTTAAAATTCTAATATTTATTGAAATTCATTTAAAAAGTCTCGATAGCTTCCCTCAAATTCTATGAGTCAATAACCTGCCAGAAACTCACATCCAACAAACTTAAACAAATAAACTTTTAAATATAATTGCTAGTAAAGATAAAATTGGTGTTAAACTGTCGCTCAATTCTATTTTCTCAGCGGAGCTTATTTCACATTTCCTTCCGTATTTAAAGCAGTGCTTAAAGTCTGTGTAAATAGCAATAAATTCAAACAATTGCCATAATGAGCTGTAAAATATTAAGTGAGCGGTACAAACTGAATAAACAAAACAGGCTGAATATACATAAACAAATACAGTGGCTTGTTTGGACTTCTGAAAATGGAATTGATGATTGTGGCTGGGCTGATTTATTTTTTTATGAGCGGTGAAAAGTTGAAGTTTCAATTTTGGATGCTTTTAATGATTCTGGTGAATGTGCTGAAGGATTTTTGACTTTCTGCTCTTACAGCACTTCATCTCAGGCGCTCATATAAGAAAACACTGCTATAAATTGTGACCAGAGAATTTAAATTAAATTAATGAGTGTCTGTAAAAATATTAAGTAAGAAAAAAACACTCGAAAATGGATATTTGCAGGTCATTCCAAAACATCAATTGTCAAATTTTGTACATTGCTCATTTATTAAAACCATTATGGTCCATACAGTCACCTTAAAAAAATAACCAAACATAATTTTTTCAAAATCATCATAAAGTGAAAGAGTTTTCCTCAAAAGTAGGTCAACAAACTTCCAAAAAAAAATACAATATCATGCTGTCTTAATTACACGCTTGCATTTTTTTGTTCAAAAATCAACAGTCAGTCGAGGTGCTCAAGATGCATTGAGATAAAAAAAATTATATTAAAAATCAGTGGCGTAGCCAGACTCTCAGTTGTACTGAAACATAAAAAAAGTGCATTGGATTCACAGAGTCACTTACTGTTTATTAAATTCCTTACAGATAGACTTGGGGACGTTCACTTATGACGTCCGAAATTAACGGTCATTTTTCAAAAAAAGAACAATGGATTTCCTGGAATTTCTATTGTTCTTTTCTTGCTGACCCCCTCCGGACATCATAAGTGAACGGCCCCTTTACTCGAATTATTAATTGGATTTCGACAGATTTCAATTAAAATAAATTTTTAAAATCGTACATTAGCATCATGCACTACACAAATGCTGTACATTATGCAATAATCCTCACAAAAATTATTGTTTTTAACTTTTTTGGCTTCTCCTTTTTTTGATTTCTCAAAAATTAATTTTTTGTTGGCTTCAAGTAATTAAAAACTCGTTAATGAAAGGAATGAAAGTTGAAACAGCTTCAAACCCAGACACGTTTCATAAAAATGTATCAATTCACTTTGATTTTTTTGGGTGCACAAAAAAAGTGTTTGATTGAGAAATTGTGCATGTTGTCATGGCACGCAAAATTTTGGTGCTTTTTTGAAATGACCGGTGCGAATTTGATTTATCTCATGACAGTTGATGAAAGGTTGTCCTTGGGTCATTTCTTTTATTTTCATGAGTTTCTCATTATTGTCGGGAATTGTTATGAAATAAAAAGGCAGGAAGTCACTGAATGTTGTTAATATCCAGCTCAATTCTGTGGCTCTTGAAGATAATTTTTTGAGATCTTTAGCTTCACTTTTGTCAGAGTATAGCATACGAAAGCAAGGCAAGACCCCTAGTCCGCAAACTACATATGTTTCATGCTTAATATATAGACTGCACATTTCATCTCATCCTACTTTTTTGTCATGACTTCTTTTTTCTCATTTTTGAAAATTTTTATAATTACAAAGTCATTGGCTATTGCTTAAAAAATTGCACACTTCATGAACCTTAAAAAATAGTAAAATTACCATTTTTTTGCAGTGAAATAAAAAATAATAATTGCAAATCACTTACTGACAATGAATTTCGGGGGTTTCCTTACGTTTCGTGGTTAGATAGCAGCAAAAAGTAGTAAAACTTGATTTTTGCAATTTACGGTTTGGACTGTTGAATGAAGTGACTAGTAACTGATCTTGTTTAGATTAAGCATTGTCCAGCTCGAATAGATCTTTCATAATTGTCTAGATGCAAGAGATATATGTTGGGAAACAAAGAATTAAGAATCTTACAGAAAATCAAGAGATTTCAATCTCAAAATTTAATAAATTAAGGATGATCAATGCTTTATTCAAACTTTATAATTTTAATTAAAGAATTTCAATTAGAAGCTCAAATTCGACTTGAAATTTCATATGAAAAAGTCAAGTCAAGTTGAACAACTTTATACAAAAAGTCAAGCCTATTTTAAAAGATAATATAATTAATAGATTTTGAAATTTAAAACCAAAACTCGAAAGAAACTAGATTAAACTTGCTTTCAGGTGCAATTTTTACCGGTCCGTGCCAAAACTTTGAAAGTCATGCGATGTCTAGTTTGTTCCTTGAATGCAATCAATATGAAATAAAGTCAAAAAATAAAAAATTAACAAAAAATTTCTGTAATTGTCGTTGAAATTGTCGAATTGTCGAAGAAAAATTTCACAGTTTAGAAATCGAAACCAGCGCACTATCATTGTCACTTGAATCATTTCGATTTACATGACAGTATCAGATCAATGATTGTCCCTTTGATAAATTTGATATGCATTTCAAAAAGTTTTGATCGAATTTCTTTCACACCAATTCGCTTAAAATTAATTCAACTTGAAATTTGACAATTGAGGCAATTGCATAATGTATCATAACATGATTTTTCTCTATTATTACTATACACTTGACTGCGATCTACATCAATCTATTTTTTTTTGTGTGCTGTTTTTTTTTTGCAGCTCAGCTCCTCAAGAAGAAGACTTTTAGACTCGAATGAAAGTAAATGAGCGAATTAAATTCGTTATGACTGTTATTATGGTTGAATAAATGGACAGCGAGGTGAAATGAGAGGTTGAGATGCAAGTGGAATGCAAAAAGTTAATAGACACATGAAAATATTTTATGCTGTATTGTTAATTTGAAGCGAATTAAAAATAAAAGATTTTTTTTTGCTGTGTTATAATAAAATTTGATGCATGTCGGCAAAGATTGGGGTTGAAAACGGAAAAGAGAAATGAAATTTATTTTAAATTGTAGTTTGAATTTAGATAATTTGAATTTGATAAATTGGATTATTAATTATTGACAGGGAACTCCCCAAAAAATTGTGAATTTTTCGATATGAAAGTTAAATATTTGAATTTAATTCAATAAACTATTTTTATTTGAGTGTTGATCAAAGATAATTAGCTCTAAAGTGTTAGCATCTGATTAACATTAAGTTCCAAAACAATATCATCATTGTCATCTGTCAATACATTTAAATTGCAAGCTCCCAAACGCTAATTATGCAAATTACATAAGCAATGTTAATGTTTTCATTACTTTCAATCATTAATTTTAAGCAGCACAAAAAAAAACCGAAATTCATTAGTTAAAATTAAATCGTAAATCGAGTCACATGCTGGAGATTATAAACATTTTGGTAGCAGACAATGATGACACACATTCCCTATTAAGTCTTCTTTTGATGAAATTCATGAAACTGACCTATCTTAACTGTCTGCCTGATTATCTCTGGCTCTCATTACAACAGATGACTGAAGTAAATCTTTCTTTTTGTTCATGTTTTTAATATTTTTGTTTTGTTTACAACTTTATTTTGGATAGTTTTTTTGTTTATGAATTGGATTATGGATATGGAATTTTTTGATGTTTAAGGAACAATTACAATCATCAAAGCTTTTCAAATAAAATTGATTATTAATATTTTAAAAAATTCAATTCCTGATCAAATACATTAAAACTTTAAATTAAGACAAAGTTCACCGACTCACGTTGATATTAATGATAGTACGTGATTTAAACGAAATGTAACTTGATTCCGCTCTCTTTTATCTCAAGCCTAATTAAGATCGGCACACTTGTTTCTGTTTTTACACGTTTCTTTCTTCTTTGCGATGACATAATCTTCTTATCTTATTTAATTTATTAAGGTTGAAGAAAAATTGGTTGTCCAGGATAAACAACAAATCTTTAGATGTTCAGATCAATTGGATTTAAAACTAGATTGTATCAAAATGTTCAAATGATATCTTCTCGGCATAAAAAAATCAAACTATATGTTTCAGCATTGCTTTAAGTGAGTTCAACTCATCTCAACTTGCAGATCATCCAAAATACTAAATTTCGTCAAGCAGTAAATTCAATGAATAATTCATAAACTGATTAGCGTCATATTTCTCTATTTCTGTGTAGTTTAATTAATTGTTTCTTGTTATATTGTAATAATAACAGCAATTTCAAAACTAAAGCCGCAAAAGACTTAATTGAATAAGATAAACAATTTTCATCAATGGGTTAATAAAAATTGTTTACACTTCAAATGTGGTTTGTACAATTGCATATCACTATTTCTTCATTAATCTATCCAAATATGTGTAATGTAAATCTTTTTCATCATTTTAAATCGAAGAAATTTTTATTTTATTAAATAACTTTTGATTGATGCTTGATGAATTGCAGAAATTTAAGTTGAAATGTTTTCATGTTTTGATAAGAAATGAATTAATTGAAATCCTTCTTTGAGCAGGCATGATAGTTGCTAATTATTTTGGAAAACTTGTTATCTGTTTATTATTTTCGGAGGTGATTAAAGATTGAAAATTGATTCTATAAACAATGATTTTAGATCGTAGCTTAATAAGGTTTTCCATTAATATTATGTCAATTCTGATAGATCTGCTTAGATAATGCTAGGATTCAAGCATTTTCTAATTTCTTGTTTAAAGGATATTATATTTTAAGTTTTGAAACTTTTACAATTTTCTAATTTTTTTCAAAATTCAGAACTAGATTTCTGTTGTTCTTTGTTTTGTTGAGATTTCAAAATTCTCTAAAGTCTTTAAAAAGAAGACATTCAAAGATTTAAAAACTTCCTTAAAGTTTGAATTCAACTTAAAACTGAATAACTTACACTGATCGAACGAATGATCAACTTACTGATTCACGTCAAAATTGAGTGATTTCTAGAAATTCATATTGCAAAAACTAAATTCGGTTTTATTGTTGATGCTTGATCTTACTACACATTCTACTCTTTTTCTTTCTACAATTTAATTATCTCAAAATCTTTCAGTAAGAAGAAAAAAAGTGCAAGTACAGACAAAAAAGCCTCTGTTGCTTCACATCGTACACTCAATAAACTTTTTTTTTCTGCTTCTTCGCTTTTTCGGTGGGGTGAGATGGCTAAAAGTTCCAAATCGCAATAGTGAATAGTTATAGTTGTGTACATACATTTTTTCGTTTTTAGACTTTTTGTATATAAGGCAAATCTTTTGTCAAGTTTGCTATCACAACTCAAACGCATCCAATACAGTAAACAACTTCAAATCTCAAAAAACTCAAAAAAATTAAAATTTGTAAAATGGCAACCAAAATTTGTGTAAGTGATAAGGAAAATGTGTAAAAATTAAGGATATTTAAAGATTATTTTGTGACTAATTATGATTAAAATTTCGCACCTAGATCGCATTGTTCGCTCTCGTAGCTGTTGCTCTCGCTATGCCAGGCGGTGATGGTGGACAGTAAGTATCTTGTGAAAATTGTGAAAAGTGCTGTGCAAGAATCTCGTGTCTAATAAATCAAAATACATCTAAAGAATCAGCATAAAAGTATCACACAAAGATCAATCAAGTGACGATAATTCGATACTTAGTAGAAAGCAACCCAATTGAAGCATAACAGATCCAAATACATATTTGCATAATAACAGCTATGAAAATTCCATTTCACCTTGCAAATTCCAAACTGTATGCAATTCTCTTCTCTCTTCCTCCTTTTCGACATTCGCATAACATGTGCGAATGATCTTGAGATAGTAAATCACCTTCAGTTTAAGTGTGGAGAAAATATAAAATAATAAGCTTGAGTGAGGAAATTGTTTTTTAAGATGGTTTAACATCATCTTGATTAAATTGATGCCGAAATGAAATAGATGAAGGTGAATCACTTCTGTTTTCATCAACTTGGCGGTCCTCAATTCGAACAATTGTTCAAAAGTTCTCAATTTTCATCTTACACAATCCAATATGAGGCAATAGTCAAATTGATTCAAAAATTGGACACTCATTACATCTACTTTCACGCCTTCCAATCGATCACCAAAACAATTGTGTTATGAATTTCAACAATTAAATCATTACACAACAGTTGCCGTACTTTCCATGAATCTACTCTCAAAAAGTCACACAAAAAGAAAGATTTGGTAAAAGGCCAATCATTAAATTGAGAATTTCAGCAAGTGAAAGCATAAATTTATTTTTGGCACTGCTTGGTCTATTTTTTCTTAATTTAATAATGTGACTGGCCTGCATTGCATCATATTGCATGACATATCATTTACTTCCCTCTTTTATTCGTCACTGTCCATTGTCGAAAAATGGTAATAACCTTTAGTTGTTGCTCGAATGAGAGAAACGACATAATTAAGTCTTTTTCACTTTCTTAAAGTCATGTGGCAACATTCAGCTATTCGTGACTCAAGTAATTGCCCTTTTAAGTAAACAAATTGAATTAATTAATGTTCGCGCTTTTGTTTAACCGTTATCGGGTTGTAAAGGGCCGCAACACTTGCTCAATCTACTTTGAATTATCATGACACTTTATGCTGCCAATAAATCATAACAGTACGCAATCGAAAGTGAATATTTCGTTCGTCTACATCACATTGACTTACTTTCTTTGTTTTCAACAAGTGATTTTGATCTCGACACAATGACCGCGTTTCTGACTAACATTTGTACCTTTTAATGTTCAAGGTGTTGATTGAGCTTAACTTAATCATGATTTAACAGACTGATGATACTCAGATTATAGGCAATAGCACAAGTCTCATATAAACCATACCTTAATAATTCAAAAAACTAATAAATTCCTTTCAATTCCAATAGCCACCACGTCAAGGTCAATGTCCCATACCACATTCACACCGTCCATCATCATCATGTTGAGAAGGTTCCAGTCTACAAGAAAATTGAAGTTCCAGTCGTCAAGGAAGTCAAGGTTCCATTCCCAGTTCATGTTCCAGTCAAGGTACCATACCCAGTCGTCGTTAAACCACATGTTGTCACAGTCCCAGTCCATCACTACCCAGTCCATACATCAGAACATCAACATGAATACTCAAGCGGACATTCAGCAGGTGGACACTCAGCTGGTGGAGACATCAGTGGACACGGACATGGATGGTAAACACTGTGATATTAGGAATAGCCAATGGAGCCCTTAAAGAAGCTGTAGCATCGTCAAATTTTTGTGTAATGCCGTTAAAAAATATTTTTTGGAGTTTTTTTAGCTAAACAAATTTCATAGCAGTAAGCTTAAAAGCTTTCTGAATATTGTAAATATTCTTACTACTTAAACTACCTTTAACTCTCATGTGATGTCATTGTTTTCTACTGTTTGGAAATTTTTTTATTGCAAAATCATTTCATTGTTAAACATTCTTCATCTCATAAAAAGAAATAATTAATGACTGCTCAAAAATAAAAAGTCATAAAACTATTTTGTTAAAAAAAATAATATTTGTGCTGTTTTTTAATTATCGAATTATTTCAGTTGCATTATTCACTTAATAGTCCGCAAAAATCAACTTTCTTTCAGATCATTTAACGAAAAAATTTCAAACAAAAGATTTCAACTAATGGATTAAAGTGAATGGAGTCAGTGGATTGTTGTGCATATGCAACAGTTTAAATAAATCACAAAAGAGCTATTTGAATTGGCAATAAAAATTGAAAAGCGTGAATAATTTTTTAAATTATATTTTCAAGTCATTTGCAAATCATTTTAAGAGAAAGATCTCTTCTATATTTAATGGGGTTGTGCTTAATAGTGGATGGAAAATGTATCAAGACTCGGAACCCGAATCTGCAAACATCACAGTTTATAAGATTATTTGATGCCTCAAGTTGATCTGAATCATCAAAAAATCATCAAATCACATTCTCCATTACATAATTTGATCCACGTGTAAACTAATAAGTACTTAAGCAGCATTAACAGTAATTAGGATCAATATCATCAGCAATAGTATTATTATAAAATTTTTGTTTGATTCGGAGGTGCTGTAATTAATTGATATTGAACACAAGAAGCATCGTTGTAAAATTTGGGAACCATTAGTCTTTAAAATATACTGGCTTAAAATAAGAAGATAAAGCTATGCCAAAAAAAACTGTAAAAGTAATCTATATGAAATGTTAAAGCTTTGATCAACAAAACATTCAAGAGACAATCTAAAAGCTTTCAAGTCATTTGATTTAAATTTGTACAACTGAAAGGCTGCTTTTAAGCATAAAAAGCTTTTATTTGAAAAATGCCAAATTTTGAATTTCAAAAAAATTACAATCGGCTGTCAGCATGAATTGCAATAAATCCTTGTGGTACATTAGCACTCAAAAAGATGTTGGCAGTTCCACCAGTTGCAACTGTAACAGATCCACCGGTACAAGAACTTCCTGATTTTACTCCAGTAGCAATATCGCAATAAGTTCCAGCTGCGAGTCCCGCCTGTAAAGTTGCACTTAAATGCACTCCAAATTGTCCATTGAAGGCGATAAATGCTCGATTTCCTCTCGAGAATGCAATTTGATTACTTCCGTTGTCCCACCAATTAGCTACAGCGGCACTTCCAGCAACATTTCTGAACTTAACCATCTCTTTGATTTGATGCCATCGGTGCTCACAAACCCATCCATTTGTGCACTGTCCTGCTGCATTGAATGTTGGAGCGACAATGTTTCCTACTGCATCACGTGGCGGTCCTTGATCGCGAGTAGTAAAGTTGAATGAACTCATAATTCTTGGAACTCCATAAGGCCATGCCATATGAAAAGCTGTTGCCATTTCGTAAGTTCTTCCACTTTTGTATGTTAACACGTGTCCATCACGTTGATTGTCGTGATTATCTTGAATATTATTTATGGATTTGAGATAAGATTAAGTTTTTAATAGACAAATAAAAGTTTATTTTTACCAACGAATGTTAAGGCATACTTCGAAGGCCAGAATCCCCATCCTTCACCTAAACATAAAAGTCATTTAATATGTCAATTGATTTATCAAATGAAGCATAACTTACCAAAGCTTTGAAGCCACTTCAAAAGATCATTTCCACCAAAAACTCGGGAAATTTCCTGAGAGTAACGGAATTCAGTGATGGTTCCTAATGGGAAATATTCACTACCGAGGAATCCATCGTTTGCAACGCTAAATCCAGCAATTACTTCTCCAACAACAAAAGGCCGTGAATTAGCTGCGAACCCATGAGCTGTATTCAAATTCTTGAGACGACTCCAAATGACTTCAAGATCACCTGGCCACCTAATATGATAAATAAGCACTTATTGTTATTAAGGAAAGTGTGTGTTGAGATAACGTGTCTTAGTATCACAGAAAAATATTTTTTAAAATTCACAAACAATGACTTATCAGGTCAATCTTATCAATGGGATTTTCCAATTGACTTTTTAATTCTCCTTGACGAAGAGAATTTGTAATTTGGTACTTACATATGCTTCATTGCATCTACAATAAAAAACAAAACAGTTATTAATAAAAAATTCTTCACATCTTTCTTTGAATTTACTTACCAACACGGAATCCAGCAACTCCAAGATCAATCAAGTGATTTAAAAATGCTGCAATCTTTGTTCTGACATATTCATTTCCTTGGTTAAGATCTGGAAGTCCCAAAAGTTCACAATTACGAATTTCAACACCATTATTCCAGTTATTAATATTGCATGATGGATTAAAATGCTCTGCTGTGAAAGGAACTCCTGGATAGTTACGGTTTGGTGGATCTGCAATATTACCAGCTGAACCTAATCGTCCACTTCCTGTCATGTGATTAACGACGACATCAACATAAATTCTGACACCGACAGCATTACAACGCCTTGTCATATCAGCGAATGCAGCTTCATTTCCTGATCTTGTTGTAAGAATATAACTTACTGGACCGTAACGTTCCATCCATGAACGATCATCATCAAAGACATTATATTCATTTGCTGGACTAACTTGTACTCCAGCATATCCATTTGGAGCTAAAAATGATTCACATTCATTTGCAATATCAACCCATCTCCAATCCATCAAATGAACCATTGCACTTCTGCCACTCCACCAATGGGGATCCGTATATGCCCCAAAACTTGACAAAGCAAAGCTGAAGAGCAATAAAGTTCCTAATGTTACTCGTCCCATAGCTAAATTAATACTGAGAATTTTTGAGAACAGTTGGTGGTCTTTAATAGATTAAAATTGTTTTCAAGTATTTACGATAAGAACGGCAATTGATTTATATGGTTTTATCGTAATCATAGAGTATTATTGTATTGTTCATATCGTGTGCTGTGATTACAAAGGAATTTTTAAAAAGAGAGGTCATAATACTTTTAAAGTTTTCGACAAGCTTTGATGCTGCTTACATGCTTTTTATTTGAATTTCATATTTAAAAGCTCATTCCTAATATTAAAAGTGACATGCTCAAGTATTTATTAACAACATGATTTAAATTTATTCAATAAACTTTAAAAGTAATTCAAAACATTACAATCGACTGTCAGCATGAATAGCAATAAATCCTTGTGGTACATTAGCACTTAAAAAGATGTTGGCAGTTCCACCAGTTGCAACTGTAACAGATCCACCGGTACAAGAACTTCCTGATTTTACTCCAGTAGCAATATCGCAATAAGTTCCAGCTGCGAGTCCCGTCTGTAAAGTTGCACTTAAATGCACTCCAAATTGTCCATTGAAGGCAATAAATGCTCGATTTCCTCTCGAGAATGCAATTTGATTACTTCCGTTGTCCCACCAATTAGCTACAGCTGCACTTCCAGCAACATTTCTGAACTTAACCATCTCTTTGATTTGATGCCATCTATGCTCACAAACCCATCCATTTGTGCACTGTCCTGCTGCATTAAATGTTGGAGCAACAATATTTCCTACTGCATCACGTGGTGGTCCTTGATCGCGAGTAGTAAAGTTGAATGAACTCATAATTCTTGGAACTCCATAAGGCCATGCCATATGAAAAGCTGTTGCCATTTCGTAAGTTCTTCCACTTTTGTATGTTAACACGTGTCCATCACGTTGATTGTCATGATTGTCTGTAAGTTGTAAGTTTGATAAGATTAAAAGTTTTGAGTAAAAATTGAAATTTGGAAAATTATCTTACCGACAAAAGTGAGAGCATACTTCGAAGGCCAGAAACCCCATCCTTCACCTATAATCAGTGAATTAGTTTTGTTTAAGTTATTTTTTGAGATATGATATGAACTTTACCGAAATTTTGAAGCCACCTAAGAAGATCATTTCCACCAAAAACTCGAGAGATTTCTTGCGAATAACGGAATTCAGTGACAGTTCCTAATGGGAAATAATCACTAGCAAGGAATCCATCATTTGCAACACTATATCCAGCAATAACTTCTCCAACAACAAATGGTCGTGAATTAGCTGCAAACCCATGGCCTGTATTAAGATTCTTCAGACGACTCCAAATGACTTCAAGATCACCGGGCCACCTGTAAATAAATGAAGCTCAATAAGTACTTAACATAGATTGTAAGTGCTATCATAAGCTCAAAACAGTCGGTAGCAAAAAACAAACTCTTTATGCTATTGTTTTTAAGTCTGTCTGAAGTGGCACTTATGAAGATAACGCACAGGATGATTGGATTTAAAAAAAAAAGCACACGAGTTGTTGTTTTGGACATAAGTTTGTACTTCTTATACTTACATATGCTTCATTGCATCTAAAGAAAATAAAACGGACATTAATGAAAAATTCTTAATAACTTCTTTGAATTTCCTTACCAACACGGAATCCAGCCACTCCAAGGTCAATTAAGTGATTCAAAAAGTCGACAATCTTTGTTCTGACATACTCATTTCCTTGGTTAAGATCTGGAAGTCCTAACAATTCACAATTACGAATTTCAATTCCATTATTCCAGTTATTAATGTTGCATGATGGATTAAAATGCTCTGCTGTGAAAGGAACTCCTGGATAGTTACGATTTGGTGGATCTGCAGTGTTTCCAGCTGAACCTAATCGTCCACTTCCAGTCATATGGTTAAAGACAACATCAACATAAATTCTAACACCGACAGCATTACAACGCCTTGTCATGACTGCGAATGCAGCTTCATTTCCTGATCTTGTTGTAAGAATATAACTTACTGGACCATAACGTTCCATCCATGAACGATCATCATCAAACACGTTGTATTCATTTGCTGGACTTACTTGAACTCCAGCATATCCATTAGGTCCCAAAAAAGTCTCACATTCCAAAGCAATATCAGTCCATCTCCAATCCATCAAATGAACCATTGTGCTTCTTCCACTCTGCCAATGTGGATCGGTGTATGCCCCAAAGCTTGACAAAGCAAAGCTGAAGAGCAGAAAAGTTCCTAATGTTATTCGTTCCATAGCTGAATCAATACTGAGAATTCTTGAGAATGTTTATTGCTCTTTAATAGATTGAAACAATATTTCTTATACTTTTGATAAGATAACTAGTGCACATGTGTGTGACTTATCACACTCAAATTAATAATCTTTAACAGGTGGTCTGCTTACTGACTTTTCTACTTGACATTATAATCTTGAAGATACGACAATCGTAAGGTATTGTCAACATGAAGTTACTTAAATCAATTCAATCCATAAACAAGCCATATCAGTTATCGTAAACTCATCTACTTTCTTGAACTTGACTTGATTTTTCTGCTGGAATTTTCGGAAGTAGCACAAAGTCATAATTCAGCTTATCAGTTTTAGTTGATAATTAAGGTTCTATTACGAGCCCTTTTCGAGTTGTTCACAAATTAAGTCTGTCGAAAATGATTAGAATAAACATCAGATGCTTCTGAGCTTCCAGGTCAGTTCTATCAATATTTTATTAGCAAGGTAATCTCATAGCTTTTTCGTAACTTATGATTGATCCATTTTCTCTGAATTTTAGTTCATATATAAGCACATCTGTAAGAAATTAAAATTTTTCAGTTTCTGTACCACAAAGCGAGACTTAACTGATTGTTTCACTCAACATGTCCTACAGCCGAGTGCATTCAATCTGTTTAAATTAACAAATTAATTTTAAAAAGCTTAAAATCTTCTTTTTGATACAAATTAAAATTTTAATTATTTTTGTGTTTTCCATTTTTATAAGCGAAAAAACTGCAAATTAATAATTCATTATATTAAATGGAAATGGATGCAGAAATGATTGACTGAACGCAATAAAAGACACAAAAAAGTTATGTTAATGCAAATTTTAATTAAATAATAAAAAAATGAACAGCCATAATTGACCAAAAATCCATTGCACAATGTTCAATTTCAGAATGGCATCGTGTATCAATTTTTTAACACCGAAAAAAATAGAAAGGGAACGCTTTGGTACTTCCCCTTAAGTTACTTTCTTTATACATTATAGATACTTAGTCCACCTCACATCATTATAATTATTCGAGTACCGAAACATTGCACAACATAACAGAAACAAATTTGGTTCGACACAAATGGTTTATTATAGACAAATTGGGGATTTTTCAGTTGGGGATTTATTTTTGCTTCTCAGATTGAGGCTCGAAAGATTTGAGTTTCCAAAAATTATTGGAGCTTCTGAAATTGAGAAAGTTGCTCGATGAGAGAAGTAATGGGGTCTTGGGATATTATCTTTCTGCATAATTCTACTAGCAGAAGACAATGAGCCTATAAAAAAACTGCATAGACCCCAAAGGAAGTAAAACTAAGTCCCCAAATGAATAAGGACAAACTGACATCAGAAAAACTCCATCATTTATCCAACAACATCTCCAAAAAAAATATAATAATTAAAATAGCCCAAAAACGCACCTTTCTCTGATCGCTTACCTAACGCATACTCCTTTTCAACGCTCAGCATGTTCTATGATACATTACACACCATTACGCTTACGAGACAGTGTTGATTTTGTTTTTTTTTCTTTTCATGATTTTTTGCTCTGTTCGTTGGTCCATTACATCACATATACTTTTTTATTGCCAAAATTAATAAGATTTGTGCCGGTGTGTCAGTGAACTTTGTTACGCACTCTGATTGAGATTATTACTATGTACTTTGTTACTTTATGCATCGATCTTTTGAGTGCAGACAGCTGTCATAAATGGAGTACTTTGAAGAATGGGCAAATTTCCCAATTTAAGCTTCTTCTTCGTAAATTTTGATAGATAGAGTCACTGAAGTTGACTGTCAAATATGCATTGTTATTACCTGATAGTTTTATTGTGTTATTTTAAGTGCAAAAATTGTCTAATTTCATGAAAAAGGTCATTAATCATTTTGCCAAAAATTGAGTTAAGTTCTGTCTTAAATTTTTGAGGCACATGACTGACATTTTGAGAGTCAATAGGGAAATTAATTTTATGTTTGTGATGAATTTAGGGATCTATCTTTTAAAGAGGGTTTTGAGATTTTGTGGCATATAAATTGTTAAGCAATAATATCCAGTTCATGCATAAACCAAGCCTAACGTGATATTGATTGATAGAAAATCTTTTAAAATTTTAATAATTACCCAAAACGAATGACTTTTAAGCCAGTCTGTTAGAAAAATTGCTAAAATTGTATCAAAAATAAGTAATAAGAAGTTAACTGAAATTAATGCATGTCTCAGATGAAAGTATTTTAAAAATCACGTGACATAACTGAACACATTTCTTCCTGATCAATTGCACAATTAAGCTGTAAGACATTTGGCAAATTGATCGATACACATCAATTATGAAGCTATCCAGATAATCAGTCAATGATCTTTCAATCTTAATTTCATAATCGTCAACGTTCCTCTTGTCTCCTTCATTGCAGATCAATTCTCAAGTATAATAAGCAATTCACTTTCTTATCAACAGCACCGATGTCATGTCGGAACATTCTCTATCCTCATAATTAAAGACAATTGACGCGAGCCAATGAAAGTGAAAAATAAGAGCAATTTATCAAATACGAAGAAAATTGTACAGCTTTTAAGCATAGAAGTGAAGCACCAACAAATTTAGGAGCGAGACAAATCATTGCCAATTTTAAATTTTGCTGCCTTTCTTCCGCTTGGTGTAAGAAAAAAAATGTACCGCAAATAAAATGAATTTAATTGGTGAAAATAATTTTTGCAGTATTTTTTAATGAGAATGGCTGAATTGGACATTTTTGAACTGTTCTAAATTGATTGAGATAATTTGAATGATAAAGCTTTTTGTCTACTTCTTATGCCTATAATAATTGTTGGAATTGGCTTGATGGTGCAATTGTAAGACACTCAATAACTTGCTCAGAAGTCAAACATGAGTTCAAATCTCAACAAAACAACTTCATTAATTTCTAATTATCAGTTCTGAAAATGCAGTTTACAAGAATCTTGCCATAGTCTATGGACAGTAATGTCTTTAAAAGTTCGAATCCTCAGAACATGGGACGTAGATCTAGGCTTAGGAACTAAGGTTCAGTAAAGCCCTATGTCATTGAAATATAATACACTATGAACCTTGTCTTAGCAAAGCATCAATCACAGATCATATCTACTCAATCCTTTAGAATTACAATCCTAAAGCTGTAAATCAAACGTTGTCAGTTCCAAATTCATGTCAATTGTTCAACTATGATAGAAATTTCATGATAACCAGCAATTTCGAGACTTCCGAAATTACTTTGCCAATTTATTTTCCCAAAGATTTCTTTCGTACTCAACTTCTTGTTGAGCATGACTCATTTAATTTCAGCAAAGCGTTGCTTATCGATACAAGAAGAAAATAGAGAAAGAAAAAAGTCGAAAGCACATAAGATCTCAAAATAAAAAAATGCTTTGTTGTATTTGGAGTGGGAACTGTACCAAAAAGTTACCGAAAATCTCATCTGAGAGTAAATTTGCTCGCTACCTTATTGTCTAGCTCTTAGTTTACTCTGAAGTCTATTCGTATAAAAGCCAAGACGTTTGTCATATCATCATTCACAGTTCAAACGCATTTCAGAAGTAAAACAACCAGTTCTTTCATTTAAATTTGATTACTAAAGATATTTGAGTAAAAATGGCAGCAAGATTTGTAAGTGAAAAGAGTCAAGCAATTAAGTCATTTAAAATGTCTACAACAATATCTCAATCATTGCAGATTGCATTGTTCTGCCTTGTCGCAGCTGTCAGTGCTTTTCCAGGTGGTCATGGTGGTGGAGAAAGTCATCATGTAGGAAGTGTAAAAGTTCCAATTCACACCGTCCATAAGCATCATTATACCAAAGTTCCTGAATATAAAATTATTAAAGTACCAGTTGTAAAGGAAGTTAAGGTTCCATACCCAGTCAAAGTTCCAATTAAGATCCCATACCCAGTTGTTGTTAAACAAGAAATCCATGCCGTTCCAGTCCATAAATATCCAGTTCACTCTTCAGAACATGTTCATCATGGACATTCAGGTGGTGGACATGGGGGAGAAATTGAAATTAAGCACCAAGAAGTTAGCGGTAAATATTAGAATTCAGTCAACTGGAAATAACATCATCACTATGAGTTCATTAATGGATAGACTTTGTTTTTTTTCTGTTAACATAATAAATTGTTGTGATTATTAACATACTAAAAGTGAACCTACATTCTAGTTTTAATTAGAATAGCTAGAAAAAAATTTCAAATTTTCTGGAACTAATCAAGTATTGAATTTTTTTATAGGTGGACACCAAGAAGCAGGACATTCAGGTGGTGAAGGATTAGGTGCTCATGGTTTCAGTGGACATGGTGCTGATTTCGGAGTTAATCAAGGAGGTTATGGTGGTGATATGGGTCATTCAGGACATGCTGGATATGGATTTGAATCAGCTGGACATTCCTCAGGACATGGAGGTTTCGAATCTGCTGGACATGGTGGTTATGAATCTGCTGGACATAGTTTTGAATCAGCTGGACATGGTGGTTTCGAATCTGCTGGAAATGGTGGTTTTGGACATGGTTTAGAAGGAGGTCATAGTGGTTTTGAAGGAGGACATGCCAATCATGGTTATGAAGTTAATCACGGAGGATTCGAAGGTCAAGAAGGTGGATATGGAGGTCATGATTTTGGAGGTCATGGAGGGCAAATCGAAGAATCACATGGAGGATCCCATGGTGGAGATAGTGGTCATGGAAAATGGTAAAAAAATCAATCAATTACCATCAAATCTTTGCTCAAAAGAAGCTATTTGTTATGAGCTTTAAGCTCATCATCTTTAAAGTCATCAACTTATTGTTGTAATAAGACTGTCGTTATCTGTTGATAAATTTGTTAAAAATAAAAATTTATTGTTGAAAATTTGAAAAAATTAACATTTTTGTTGTTCTCATTTTTATAATTTTACTATAGTCAAGATAGTTTAATTAAAACTATAATGAGAAAGTCATTTCCAGCATTTTAATTGATTTCAACGCTTTTTAAAAGACAGTTTTCATCAAACTCTGATTCGAAAAGCTTTCCCTTTAAAACTTAATAGTATTGGTAATATAGCAAGTAGTAACAGTCCAAAAAAGTTTACTTTCCAATAAGTTTTAAAAAACCTTATTTGATTTATTTTACATAGTTTTGTTCAGTAAAGTAAAGGCGTTTGTGTTATCCAAACATTCAAATAAGCTTAAAGGCATTTACTTCCAATCTTTCTTACAAAGATTATTGAAGATTTTAATCTATGTTTGGGATTATTTAAAGATTATAATCTGCGAGAGCCTTGATTTACTAAAACAATTGTATCAATGGCTATTTACGACTCAAATTCATCGAATTGATTCTTAAAATTTTTTCATTCATTATAAAATAATCTTTCAATTGTATAAAACACGTGCCTTTGTCAAATGAACGAAATTCAATAATTTTATTTATTGTGATTAAGACTTTTTGAAGTTTTAAATTGTGTTTTCAATTTCAGTTGATGAACTTTGTTTTTAATTCCTAAAAGCTCAAAATTATATTTTCGAAGAAGTTTATGTTTTATTCATTTGAGCTTTTGAAACTTTCTAAGATTTTAAACTTCATGTAGATCAAGTATGTTTAGTAAAAATAAACATACTGAAGCATTTTAGTCAAGTACAAAAAGTACTAGATCTCTTCAGTTCACTTTTCGGAGAAATACTTATCGTTATTTTTTTGTTGCTTTATTAATTCGCGATCTTGGATTGTTCATTAAACTACTGAGTGCAAGAAATTGTTGGTTAACGGCACAAAAGGTCTGTTGCAATAAGATTTTCATTAATACAGATTTCTCTCATTTTCCTCTCATTTAATTTCTACTTTATCGTTGAGAAATTTTGACTTTGTTGAGTCCAGCAATTATCAAAAGATTGATTCAAACTTGACTTAGGTTAACAAAATGCTTTCCAATTCCATTCTAGAAAATTAATCTTAGGACAAATGAAGTAAAAGATATCTATAAACTTGAAATAAACGAAGTCTATAAGATCAACAATGCATCACAAAATTTCCACAAATTCTTAAACAATTAAAATCTCTTATCTTCTTAATTGCCGTGTAAATATGATTTTTTTTCTCACATCCATAATGTCAATAAGTAATTTAGATGCACGAAGTACGTAAGAACCTTCAGTTATACGGAAGATTAATCAACTATGGTGTGAACTTTCATGTCATTACTTTGTATTGTCAATTGAAATCTGATTAATGTAAGTTTTTTAATTAAGAAAATGATTCAATGGAAAATTTATCAAAAGGGCGTATGTGCTATACAGTAAGCTCCTTAATTACATGCAAATGAAAATATTTATAAAAATCTCAAAGGTCAACATCCATTCCTTAATTTTACACTTAAACAAGAAGTATTATTGATTATTTCTGAGTAATTATCATTGCATCAGACTGTAAATTGATGTACTTAGTTCAATATTGTCCAATGTGATTTCATAAACTCATCTTAAATCGTTATTCATACTGAGTCTCTTTAAAATCCCTTATACTTAAAAAAACGATTAATGTCCATCTCCAAAACAATAATTTTTTGCTGACATAACAGCAAGTAAAATGATATGTATAAATTGACGGTAATGAACAATCCATGAAACTCAGATTTTCTGCATATATGTCGAATAATTTTGGAAATAAGTGAAATTACTGTCCATTTATTTATTTTAAGTGATTTCGCGTGCTGTTATAAGTAAGAAATATGAATCACATGGCAATAAACGATTTTTGGTGAGGATTTTTTTTTATTGAAGCTTGATTTTGGATTCAAAGGTATTAATTAATCAGTTTCAAGGGCTACCTAAGATATTCTAGCTTCCAAAAATTCAAGAACCGATGTTTAATCCCTCGGATTCCTTGATCTTGCATCAAATGAAAGTCAAAATGAGATTATGAATTACAACTTACCTAAAATGTTCTCCATGCAGACAATAAATAAAACCACAACAAATCATTAAAGAAACGGACAAATAGCAGAGATGCAAAATCAGGAAATAGCCACTGTGCGTTGGTTATTCTTCTTCCAAAAATTATTATTTTTTTCACTTTCTCTCGCCATGAAAGCAATTGAAAGCAATGAAATCATTTGTGCACGCTAGTTGTGAACATTTGATTAGAATCTTTGCTTGCCTCTGCTGTTTGTGTCCAACTGAATTACTTTACATCTGTCAATCTCAATTAACATTAAAATCCAAATTGTACTCGTGGATTACTTAATATAAAATCACACATTAAGGCGCCCATATTACGTCAACATTAACAGCATATAGCTAGTAACATCAAGAGATGATCATTATTGTAATATAGATGGATTAATACCTGATGAAAGTAAAATTTATGGTATTGTTATGCTCAAAAGTATTTATTTATTAAAAAAATGATGTAAAGTAAAAGAAGATGCAAAAAAAATTAATTTTCTACTGAGACGACCTTTTCAGCACTGCAAAATTAGCGTGTCCAAAAATTAAATAACTATTTGTACAATTTCTTTATGCTCGTCGCTACCTCAATGGAATGGGTGTTTTGCAAAGTATTCTGGAATTTGAATATATCATGAAGTCAAAGATGATTACGGTTATTAATTTAGGTAATATGCGAACATTAAGGCAGTTGGAGATTGATTGGATGTGATTTTGAATCAATGTAGCGTATGAGGTCTTTGAGGATGCATTAAAGGGTGTGGAACTAGTCAAAATTGATCAAAACATGATTGAACAGTTCCGGGCACTTGATTTGTGCTTAAGAGGATATCATCTTAAACTTCATGCTGAGGATGTTGATGCTAACCGAACAGTTTGTTTAGAATCAAGTCTTATGACTGTCTTGTGCCAAATGTTGCTGATGGGACCTTTGGAAATTTAAAATTCAGTTGACATAAGACAATCAGTATTAATACCAGCTATAAGCAACAACTAACAGAGGTCATAGACCCCAATTGATCTCTACAGTCATCCACTCATTCATCATTCTCAACAAATTGCTTAGATTTCAATCAATTATCCATCCATTTGCAAATTAATTTAAAATCTTCAAATCTCCTTAATAAGGATGGCATGTTTACTCATCAATGACTCTTAAGTGTCGAAACATTTCAAAGCAATAGCTATTAATTACTCGTCATCTTAAACGATTTTCTACCTTTCAATACATTTCCATGAATAGCCATCATAATTGATTTATAATTGTAAATGAAAGTTTTTCTTTCTTATTTCCAAAAATAAAATCTTTTATTATTCAATCGTTCAAGGCCGCGGTGCGAACAATGATGTTGCATATATTGCATGCTTTACTCGTAAAATGTTTGGATCTCTGCCATTAAATGATTACAATGAAGTATCGATGTACGCTTTACAGCAGTGATGGCCAACCTTTTTTGTGCCACGGCAAATCTGATGGACAGTCATGACCAAAATAGCACACAACATACGATTCATGGGATATTCCAGATTATTTCAGTGTGCCGCGGCACACGGGTTGGTCATTTCTGCTTTACAGCAATGAAAAAAAAATATTGAGGTTTGTATGTGAAGCAAGATGCAGATGTACCTGTGTAAAAGTTGAACTTGACGTGCAAAAAATTGTATTAACCTACTTTTGGCTTCACGTGTCGTAAATGTGATAATGTTGGGCTTGATAACATGGGTTATGTAATTAAAAAATGAAATTTATGGACAGACGTGTTCTTCTGAGACCTTAAAGATCATCATCGACATCGACATCAAGTGCTTATATGTGCAATTAAATGCTGGATCATATCAATTAAGTAAATGGATTATTATCATGGCAAAGTCTTAAGAATGTTATTTATGAGGTGATAAAATCATAAACGATCAAGTCATGCTATTTATAATAACACTTGTAACATGAACAGGTGCTTGAGGATTTCTCTTAATTTTCTAGCCAGTTTCTAGTTACTTTGTTGATTCCAGTAGAGTATGATTGTTGGTTTGATACAATTAAGTTTGGAATCTACAATTAGTGCAGGCATTCAAAAGTATTCGGATAAGAGCTAATCTGACGAGGATGCTTGTCCAATATTGTCCAAAACTCAATCAAAAATGAACTTTTCTAAGTAAATCAATCATTTTTGAAACTTAAAATAATTCATTAAAACTTTCAAGTACCAAAATTTAAATACAATGCACCAAAAAAGAGCAACAGCACTTTTATCGCAAGGAGGCTTATTAAGTCTATATTCACGATCAATAAAAGTAATTTGGTTAAGAAAGGAAACCATCCAAAATTCGACCTTTAAATCGACTATACTTATTATGAAGCCCTTTCGAATTTCTTTTAAATCCATTATGTATTAAGGCACAATTCCCTTTCAAAAAATGAAACATCAGCTTTCAAGTAAATTTTGGAGCAAGGTTATGAAGGCACAAAAGAAGCCGAGAGGCTCTTTAACAAGATAAAATCGTCTTGGACCTGAATTGTCTCGTCTTGTTACAATTTTTCCTTTATTATTCGTCTGCATTCAATAAATTCAAGAACACCTTCCGCCTTGACCCGCTTAACAAGTGAACAAAAAATGCAATATACGTAATTTTTATGAATGCACATTCGTATGGCTTCAAAAGCTCATAAACGTATCGATTACATCGGGTACGGACGATAGTATTTTTATTACTGTTTTCAATGAAATAATTTTATTTACTGAGGTTGTTTAATATATTAAATTTTGATTAAAAATGAGGAGTTTTGGGGACTTAAAAAAGAACAAGATGCGACAACATTGACGTTTTGTCCAAGTTTGAAAAGGATTAATGGAAATGAAGATTGGGAACTCATTAAATCTAGTTCCGATTTGCT